ATGTTTACTTTGGGTGAACAAAGGGAAATCTGTATATAGAACTTAAAGTTAATTTATGTTTTCTCCTCTTGCAATGCAAAATTTTCTGATTAATCGCTTCTGATTTTAGGTTGTCACCGCTATGAAATTGTAGAGTTTTTCATAACTCATCAAATGAAGATTACCGGTGTATATATTACAGAATTACCCAAACGACTCCTTTTCCCCGTTCGTTCCCTGCTACATTGTAACCCAAGGCAATTGTTGTAGAATATTTTAATGAAGTCATGATAAAGGGTTGCACAAGAGTAGTGTGACTGAAAGCACTAAGAGTACTAAGGTAAATGCCATTTGGTTGCTTTCGTACAATGGATAATACTCATTAAACAAGTTCGATTGTAAGTAAACACGTTATAAATGTATTTTAGTCAAATATTAATTTAATACAATTACCGGGGAGGGGTTAATAATAAATTTATGCTAGATTCAGCTATAAGTCTAAATATTTTTGTGCAAACGATATATCTTCAATTTTGCATGTTTGACAATGTGATGCAAGTAAAAAATATCTCCAAGTCCGTTTAAATTACTTTCTGAAGGAAATTATCACTAGTTTTGATGTATGTGTCTAGATATAATACTAGACCAGGCCATCTTTTAAAATATGTTTGCTTGCCCTCTCCCGACTGAGGATACAAAAAAAATTATGTAGGAAGGTAATTTAAGGTAGGAGCATAACTTTTTTAAAATTAAAAAAAAACCCTGCAAATGTGAGGTTAAAATGGTTATTAATGAATAAAAAAATAATTATTTCCTGGAGATCAAAAAAAAGTTTTAAGTCGGGCCGTTTTTAGTCAGTCGGTCGGGAGAGGGCAAACAAACAATTTTGTAAAGATGGCCCCAATTCCATGACTTTGGTAAAGAAAGATGTCATGGATACTAGTATTCATAATAAAAGAAAATTAATTAAATATCAACATGTATTTATTTCGACGAGCAATGAAACTTGCTGCTCTGTCACGCATTTTATTCTTTTCGAGCCTGCTTTAATTCATACTAAATATCCTTTTTTTTCTTTTTTTTTGGCCTGTCAGGAAATTTTTGGTAGTGCCCCTTCAACTGTCAACTGAAAAATGTATGGCTGTGCCCCCCCCCCCCCTTCCACTAAACCGAAATTGCTTCCTACGGGCCTGATATGAATATTTTTTTCGACATTTATACGATGCTAAATATCACAGCGTCACACAATACAAGGCATAAAGGCTTGTTGGAAAAAAATCCTGTAATACATGTAACTCTGTCATGGAAATTTCGTACAGTCCTATCACATTGTACAGCATAAAAATATTGAAATTTGATTCCGAATTCCATTCATATCAGAGGATGATGAGTTAAAATATTAGATTATCCAGATTGCCTAATATTGGCATCATATATATACTAATTCAAAACTCCGCTTTGGAATAAATCATTTCCATGGTAACGTATTTCATGCATCATTGGACGGTGTTCACAGACAGGTGTAAGTTAATATTATTTTACTCACCCTCTCTTAGGAAAATTCGTGTACATTTTAATTATCTCCATTTGTCTGCTTATCACACTTTCTTGTCATTGCTTCTCATTTTGAAATTTAAGGGTAGCTAATTTATTTTCATAAATTGGTTATGGAATCTCTGTCTCAAGGTTTCACAAAGGTTAAATCACAGGAGTTCGCGTACCTATCAATTTAACCGAAATTTTCAGTAAATAAAAAAAAAATACGTAATACCTATAATAATAACACAAGGAGTGCAACGCATTCCAGGTCACCGGGGAACCCCTCTCTTAATATCGAGGCTGCTGCGCAATTAATTTTCAATCGAAAATTATAAAACACAAACCATTCTTTTCGGAAGGAACCATTCTTTATGTCTGTTAATGCATATGATTTGAAATGCCTGTTTAACATCAGTAGCAGCGACATTTCTCAACGACTTTGCCCAAACATTGGTTGTCCGCGACGCCATTACGTGACGTTACAATGGGTGCGTTGATTTACCCAAAAAGAAAAAAAATGCCAGAGATGAATAATAATATGGAAATTTAGATAATTTAAGGTCATGTACGATATGAATGTTCTACAAACAAATTCAACAGTTCTCCGTTTTACATACAGGTGTAAATAATGTGAAGAATACAACGTACAAAATGATACATATAAGAAATCAAAATGAATTACATGTACTTCCAGTAGACAAATGATTTGAACGTAACAGGGAAATGTTTTGAGCAGTGTCTTTCTCTTAAAAGATAATTATTATTTCCTTTTGACATTTGAAACATCATCTCAAAAAATGCTTTGGGCACTTTTTGATATTCTTGCATGAAGTGTGCGAGGATCTGTACATGTATGTGTAAAATGAATTATTTAATAACGTAACACTGCATGCATGTGAACAAAATTGTGAGTGATATAGTTCAATAAAAAAAATCATATATCCCCCCAGTAAATAAAAGTAAAATGGAAGCGCACGTCCAGCGATTGAACAACCCTTGAATATCGCCCCCCCCCCCCCCGACAACTTGTACGTTAACATAGTAAATACATACCAATATATAAATAGGCCTACTTATAAAATGGCCTCTTTTTTCTTGTTAAAACAACAGACAAATATTGATCAGAAAAGCTTACTTGAGCCTTCTGCTCAGGTGAGTATGAGCACAAATTACAAGTGTTACGAATTTTTTTTTTTAAATAAGTATTTAATAGGTTTTTTATGTACTGAAAATTTCGTTACAATTGATGGGTACGCCATCTTCCGTGATAGTACTGATTAAATTCTCAAAGTATACGATTGTTGAATAATCTTTTCGTTCTTCCTTTTTTTACTTGTCAAAGATTTCCTCGCCAAAATTGAAGACACATTAACTTGGATTGCACCCCCCCTCTACTTCCTGCTTTCAAGTTTTTTTAACACCTCAAACGTAACCTAGTATTAATATATGCTTAATTTTTAACATACTACATTGAATAAATTTAATAAGGGTTGGAAAACATATACCCATTCAATGTCTAAAAGGTAAAGACAACAAGGAGTACTTTAGTATACTAAAGTTAATAATCAATTATAAAGATTCACGGGCATTTTTTTTAGTATTTTAGAATAAAAATGAAGATGACGTCAGCCCCCCAAATTATTCACATATTTTTCCATCAATACCTAAAAATTTATATTCATTAACCATAAGTTGTGAATTGACCCCCCTTATCTTTTAAATACCACTGCTAAGTTATTATGTAAAATGTTTCATATATTTTATATATATTTCACAATAGACAAAAAAGTACTCGTATTACAAGTTAAAAGTTTTATCTCTGGTATCATATTGTATATGATTGTTCATTTCAGGCATTATATGTTCCTTTTGGGTAAAGCGACGCGCCCGTATTACGTCACGTAATGGCGTCGCGGACAACCAATGTTTGGGCGAAGTCGTTGAGAAATGTCACTGCTACTGATGTTAAACAGGCATTTCAAATCATATGCATTAACAGACATAAAGAATGGTTCCTTCCGAAAAGAATGGTTTGTGTTTTATAATTTTCGATTGAAAATTGATTGCGCGGCAGCCTCGATATTAAGAGAGAGGTTCCCCGGTGACCTGGAATGCGTTGCACTCCTTGTGTTATTATTATAGGTATTACGTATTTTTTTTATTTACTGAAAATTTCGGTTAAATTGATAGGTATGCGAACTCCTGTGGTTAAATACAGGAGGGTTCGGATGCTGTAAATCTCCTAGACTTTTTCGGATGTATGAACACGTAAAATTATTCTCCCCTGCATTCGCGAAAGCGATGGAACTTTAAATCTCGCTCATCTGTCAGTCTGTCACAAAACCTTTAACCTTGGTCATAACTTTTGAATGAGAAAAGATATGGCTTTCATATTTTACAAATGCATTACCTGTGACAAGAATTTCTCAAATGTGTTATGGTATTTTACCCAGTGACCTTGACCTTTTAGTTTGACGTAGTTTTCAAAAATTTTATCATTGCTGCTAACCTTTGAAGGAGAGAAGATTAGGGTATTCATAATTGACATGTGCGTTACCTGTGACAAGACGTTTCTAAATGTAGTATGATTTTTAACCCTGTGACCTTGGTCTTGGAGGTTTGACCTAATTTTCAAATAGTTTAACATTGCTGTTAACATTTGAATGAGAGAAGATAGGTTATTTATATTTGACATGTGCATTACCTGTTTCAAGACCTTTTTGAATGCTCTCTGGTTTTTGACATCGTGACCTTGACCTTTAAATTTAATCTAGTACAATCTTTTTTTTTTTTACTCATGTAATAACTTTTTAATGAGAGATGATAGGGTTCTAATATTTTACATGTACATTACCTGTGTCAACACCTTTCAGAAAGGTATATCAATTTTGACTGATGACCTTGGCCTAGAATTTTGACCTACTTATCAAAAAAAGTTTAACTTTGGCCATAACTTTTGCTCCAGAAGAAACATGGCTTTCGTATTTTTCTTTACATGTTCATCACTTGTGACAAGACCTTCCAGATTGTATTATGATACTTAACCTATGACATTGATTCTGAAGTTTTGAGAAACTTTTATCTTTGCCATAACCTTTATTAATTCAATAATTTATATCTTGTTTGTATGATGGACAGACAAGACAGGACACAAGAACAAGACAGTTACAATATGCCATAAATAATTGCATCCCATCCACTAAGACACCGTAAGCGAGGGACCACAATTCTTTGAATTTGCGTGTCTTAGCAGTCATTCTCAAGTATATCTTTAAATAATTCCTATGTTATTCAAACCTAAACGGATGAATCATTAATTAATCGACCTTTTTTCCGGATAGGTGATCAGATATTTCTTGAGCATGTTCATTCCCAAATAACGAAACCTCCTATCTTGATCATTTTTTTACAGCTGTTGTATACATGTTGAATCTGGGGATGAATACTATTATCTGCAATTCGGATTCCGTCAGATATTTTCTGATGAGTTATTGGGCAAGTTGTTCTGGAGCTGGTCCATTCCAAAGTACTTGTATCTGTAAATGCTTCCTTGACCAGTCGTACACAAGTGGATGCTGCATTGTGGATGAATGAATAGTCTACATTAAAGTTTCGAAAAATCCTCCAATCCCAAGTACTTACATTCTTATTTGTTATTAGTAAGGCGTTAAAACTCTTATTTCTAAGTGATCGGATTTTCCATTTTTAAAAAGACAGGCATATGTTGCTCATCATATCAAGGATTGTAAATTTATCCAGTTTTTCAGTATGCCACACAAGCGATTTCTTATGCCCATAGGAAGGCTTAGTGTAATTTTTGTATACAAGTATATTTTTTTTTCATGTTTGCCCAACAAAAATGTCTACGTTTACATTTTAATCATGCGTGATAGGTGCCCTTGATATAAAAACGTGATTTATCAATCAGGAATAAAAAATTCATTTCTTTTTCACAGACATGACCTCAACATTGGATAATAAGGTTAGAGTCGAGCACTCGCATTTGTTACTGTTTTAAGCTGTGTTAAGAAACACTATTATATAATAGTTCAGTTAGGATTGTTGTGCAGAAAGTGGGTCTCAGAAAATGGATTCCTGCTCTCTACAGATTTAAGTTTTATATGCAGATTTTATTGGAAGGCAAAAATAGTCTTTTTAAATTTTTTTTTTTTACTAAAACGAGATTTCTTTTTGCTCTAAATACTTTCAACTGGAAACATATCGATTTTTGGATTATCGGGTAAGTAATGCAGTCTGAAAGGACTATGGTAGCGGCCGAATCTGGCCCCTTATTTGATGTAAAAATCAGGACACAGTTAAAACTGTGATAGTTTGTAGTTAAGAACTTAAAACGATGCTTGTTTTTAAAACAGCACTAATTTTGATTCAAAGCTTACACGGAGGCCACAAGAGGGTGCTGAAGTAGGATATTTTCCCGAATTTCCTCAATTCTGGTGGAATTTCGTCAAATTTGAGATACTTTTCACTTCGGGAAACATAGAACACAAGCTTGCCTATCTGAGATTTTTATACACAAGATGCAGCTGATACTAGCGTATGAAATATATAAATTTGGTAGATAGGCAAGCTTGTGCTCTGTTTTCTGAAACAAAATGTGCTGTAAAATTGATGAAAAATTGCATGAAAATGAGAAAATCCGGTAATTGACACATTTTCTGACCTTCCTATGACCTATGTGTATCCCATAACTTCGAACCAATACTCATTTTGTGGCAGGGGTGACAAGAGGTTTTTATTGATAAACTGTTGCATCATTCTAAAAGACACCCAAAACCAGGGGTCAAAAAGGAGTCTTAGCCTATCTTGTCCTTTAGCTGAACCAGTATCTTTGTGATACATATAGTTAATAATTATTAGTGACGATTACGATTGCAGATAGGTATCTTATATTGAAACCAAACCAGTAACTTTCACAGATAATCACTGGCAGATCAACCGGAAGAGGGGAAGGGTAAGACATTGTTAGACGGCTCGATAAAATACAATCTCATTATCGCACGATATCCGCATTCGATGTAATATTTACCTAATTTAATTTTATTTAATTCCTTAGGTAACCTAAGTCTTAAATTTTAAGTTGATATCAAATCGAATCTGTCCTCTAAATTCCGGAAGAAACCAGTTCAAAGCGTGCTATTACATAAAAAAGATGATTGAGATCAGATATACTGAAAGATACCGTGACCATAGCACTAGAGAAAACTATATTGATATAAATTGTTTGTTTCTGTACAAAAAAAAAATGTAATTGTATTTTGAATTCTAACTGCAATTGTTATTTATTTGATCAGCCATCATGGACAAAGACATACCATCAAACGGTGCATCATTTTCGGAATTCTCCAAAGAGGAACCCAAGCGTTCTCACTGGACTGGAAAGTTAGATTTTCTCTTAGCATGTATAGGATATGCCGTAGGACTTGGAAATGTCTGGCGCTTTCCTTATCTGTGTTACAAAAACGGTGGAGGTAAATGCTGCATTCGAAAATCAAATTTTAAATTTTTGAAACAAAAGTAACTTGGCAAAATAAGAAGGAGCAAGCTAGTGCTTTAATTTGATATAGTGTCCAAACTTCAGTTGATTCAATGTTGTATAGTTGGCTTTCGTTATATAAGTTCTGTACTTTTTCCGGATGCAGGAGCGTTCCTGATTCCTTACTTTATAATGTTGGTCTGTGGAGCTCTCCCAATTATGTTACTGGAGATTGGTCTTGGACAGTACATGTCCCGTGGAGGACTAAAGTCATGGGTCATCTGTCCATTGTTTCAAGGTATGAGAGCACATCATCACAATAAGTAGATCATAATTAAAATAGATTAGCGAAGTTTTAATCTTAAAAACATGATTTTTTTTCCTTTATACTTACCATATAATGTAATCAACTAGGTGATAATGAAATTTTGAAGAGACAAGGAACCAATTATTCCATTGTAAAATATGTCAAACAAACTATAACTATATCTCCGTTTTGTCGAACGTTTAATAAGATTATTTTTATGCTTTTAATTTTACAAATTGTTGCAAAATCTGAGTGTTTACAGGAATAGGAATAGCCACCCTTCTTATCAACTTTCTGTGCAACACATATTACATCGTGATCATGGCCTGGGGATTGTACTACCTTTATATGAGTATGAGCTCCGTTCTACCGTGGAGTAACTGTAAGAATGAATGGAACACCAACAGGTACGTAAAAAATTTGGACATTTTGTTTAAAGAAGTCTGGAATCAAAATGCAATTTAAGTTACATGTTTTTTTTATCATTTGCAAAGTTTAATTAGTCAGTTGGAAATTATTTCAAGATTCACTTACAAACATGCTATACAATTCACCAATATGTCGTAGGAGTTCCCTTTCTTTTAAAAAAGTACATTATTCTATTTTGATATAAAATTGTAAATCACAAAATGATAAATCAGCACACTGACGCACATTGATATCACTTTAAAAGATACAATTTTAATTTTTATTAAAAATTGTATGTTGGTTTAGCCATGAAATATAGAAATAACAAACAGTATTCAGCTTATAATACAAATCGGGAGCATTTCAAACACGGACCTCTAACACATCAGAGGTGGGATCAGGTGCCATGGAGGAGTGAGCATCTCCTGCTGACCGGTCACACCAGTCGTGTGCTCCTTATGATCGGGAAAAACAGAAAAATCCGTGGGCAATTCAGTGTGTAAACAATGGCCTAATAATCAGTATGAGAAAGGTCAGGCAGCATTTGACTTAGATTGTATCGACCATAAAACTTGCGAAATGATGACTTTAAACGAGACTGTTGATATTCTTGTTTGATCAACTTGTTTGTCAATAGTTTGCACCGTTTTAGAAATTGTTCGTACGTAGAGCATGCTCTTGCATGTCGAATCAACTGAGAGACATAAACCCCTTATGCAGGTGATAAGGGTTTATTGCTACAAAACTAAGGGAAGTTGACGATTGAAAAGTTGAAGTCATCACGTTTATCACAAAGATTGGTTGTTAGGTTACCATTAACGTCTTTTTCTAGTAAAATATCGAAATATGAAAGAGATGTGTCAGACTCTGTGATATCCTTTATTTCAAGCTCACTGGGATATATCGAGTCGAGTCGCTCGCGTGGCGCAGTGGTTAGAGCGTTCGCTCTAGAGTCGCGGAGTAAGGAGTTGATCCTTACGTCGCGGGTTCAAATCCCGCTGTGGGACGTGGAGACCGGTCTTTCGGATGAGACCGTATAAACCGATGTCCCATGTCGCAGTAGGTGCTGGCACGATAAAAATCCCTCACTGCTCAATGGCCCTGAGTGCCGAGTATAGGTCAAAATTTGCAGCTCTCCAATGGCAAGTGGTGGAGTCTCAATATGAGTGAAAAATTCTCGAGAGGGACGTTAAACAATAAACAAACAAACAAACGAACAAATATATCGAGTCGACATATGGATGGAAGTAACTATTGTTAATTGATAATACGTCATCGATATATCTAAATATCGAGTTGAAGGCCACAGCAAGTGTTTTCTTATTCTCATGTATGAAATGTTGAAAGAATTCTGCTTCATATGAATACAAAAATAGGTCTGCTAATAACGGGGCGCAATTAACCCATTGGGATTCCGATAGATTGTTGGAAGACCTGTTTTCCAAAAAACACATAGATATTGTCAATCAGAAACTCAAGCATCTTTTTGATGTCATCTTTAGAGTGTGCGTACAATCGGAATGTTTTTTTTAACAAAATAATGTTGAAAATGGCCAATGACTAGGTCAGTAAATTAGCTTCATTTTTATTGAAAAAAGCAGCTGTCAATAATAACAAAAAGTCTGGACTTTAATTTATCGTGAGGAATGGTTGTATAAAGTGTTGAAAAGTCGTACGTTTTGATGTTATTGATTTGTTAAAATTTTGTGATTTCCAATTTTCTAAAACTTTCTTGGAATTTTTAAGTATCCACATCTGATTTACACCACATCTTGAATATATTGTTGTACAGAACTCCTGAAGTTTTAAATTTAAATTAGTATCTCACGTTTTGGTTCCAATGAAAAGTCATATAACATGCAACATATCTTTTTCATCTCATCTCAAAATAATAAGTTATGGTAAAAGAAATTGCAACAACTTACATGTATTCAATGAATCGAGATTGTTTTTCGAGACGAAAGCCATGAGGTAAATTGAGGTTGTCACTTAAACGTTTGAAAAAATTCCGTGATTTTTATTTTCGACACTGTTATTCATAACAAAAAGATTCGCGCATTTAATACAACATGTCTTTTTGTGAAAATTCTGATAGATTTCTCCCAGATGTTGAACACACACATGGCCTTATTGTACTTGACAAATCTTAAGTTGATAATACAGATGTCCTCAGAGAATTGTAGAAGACATGAAAATGACACTGGAATGTATAATACAATGGTGTGTATGTTTTGCTTTTTGGCAGATGTGCCTCAACAGACCAAGAACTACTCACTAGGCTTTGCTTTGGTCAATTCAACATGTCTATTAACTCGGAACAATTAGAAGAAAGTTTGATTTACAGGAACGCGTCTGTTTACAACATTCATCAAAACTTATCTATTGCAAACTGCTCCTTAGAAAATGTACACCCAGTGGATCCTGTAGTCGAGTTCTGGGAGTGAGTAGTTAAAAGTTCTTGATTTCTTAACTAATTTTTCACAATCAGTTGAAGTTTGCAAATGATATTGTGACGGAAAACACGTTTTGTGACAAAAGATACTTTCTAGGGAACAAAAAGCCTGATCATATTTATTTTTATTAAAATATAGAATTTCTAATAGAAAAGGCTCGAGTACAATAAGCTAAAATTAAAAAAGAGCTATGTCCGGCAAAAAATTGTGATTATTCAATTAATAGCCATATCTTGTTTACTAGTACCAAGTGTAACACATGATGTACTGAGTATGCTTTATTGTAAAATGAACGTCTTGTAATTCAGTATTCTTAGTCCAATAACTACGTGATTCTTATTCGAACAGAAAACACGTGATCCAGATTTCCGGATCTATAGAAGATGGAGGTGGCCTTGTTCCTCACTTAACAGTCTGCCTGTTACTGATGTGGATAATTGTTTATTTCTGTGTTTGGAGAGGTGTAAAATGGAGTGGAAAGGTAGATAAAATTCCGCAAGTTTATTCAATTGAGGGGTAACGCCTTCCTTCAAAGGAGATACTCAGTAATTAGGAATAAGTGAAAATTTTAATGGCATCTTTAAAAAATCTCAAAATCACTGGGCCAGAAAAGATGAAATTCATGTGAAATCTTTATTGCATAGTGTAAATTCAAGTTTGTGCAAACATGACTCCCAGGGGTAAGGTGGGGCCACGATAGACCATTAAAGTTTTACATAGGGATACATAGGAAAAATTTAGAGATCTTCTTCTTAAGAACAGTCAAAGCTGATAATTCATATTAATATAGACGCATCCTCAGATAATGTACATTCATGTTTGTTCAAATCATGACCCCCAGGAATAGGCTGTGGGGCCACAATCGGCAGTCAAATTTTTACAAGGGAGTACTTAGGAAAAATCTTTTAAAATATTCTTTTCAAGGATAGCAAAGCCATAACAAGTCACATAAATATGGAAGCGTCTCAAATATGAAGATAACAAATAGTAATCAAGCTCAAAAGTCCACTGAAAAAATACAAATCGGTAGCAGAACAAACATAGACCTCTAAAAGCATTAGAGGTGGGATCAGGTGCCATGGAGGAGTAAGCATCGACCGGTCACATCAGCCATGTGCTCCTTGTCATGATCGGGCAAACGGAAAAAATCCGTGGACAATTCAGTTTGTAAAATTGCATTGCAATTAGTATGAAAAACGTCAGTCAGCATTCGACTTAATGATAGATTTTATTTGCTGACAAGATCAGAACTTGACACGTTGACCTCAAACGATTAGTCATATTTATATGGAAACATCCCCAGATCATGTTGACTCAAATTTGTTCAAATATTGATCCCAATGGGTAGCTATATGGTGGATCACAAAAGATCAAAGTTATACATAGGAATAAAAAGGATAAATCTTCAAAATTATCCCTCCTGTGAACAGCAAACTGAGAGCCTTGGGGTTAGGATTAGGCCGAAATGAAAAAAAAAATTCCAGAACAGAGGGCCATGTTGATCATATTGAAATTGAAGCATCCCGTGTGGATTCAAATTCAACTCATGCAATCAAAGCTCCCATAGAGCTAGATTTCTGTTCACAATATGGAGTCATTTTTAAATGAAATTAAAGAGTTAAATTTTAAAAATAATCAGTCTGCTGAAGAAGAACAACAGGCAAGCTTTGTGGTCCTTGGACCTCTTGTTGTATTATAATTTTTCCAGATTTATTGTAGTCAGAACCAAGAAAATATCCAATTAATCAAAATCGGCTCTGTTTTGATATGACCCACAGAATTATTTGTCCTATTAATAGAGTTATAGATTTCATATGTTTTTTGGAATCTGGGAAAAAAGCACCTATACGCTTGATATGAAAAAGAAAACAAGCTTTTCATGCATTACCATTGAATGGTAGGAAACAGAGGCAGGGGCATAAAAAGAAACATTGGGAAATATGATGGTCAAAAATTTGGTCAATTTGCAATTTAAAAGTTAAAATTTTCATGATAATTTTCGAAGAATATTTACAAAATACAAACAGTATGTTTCCAGTTTGATAAACACATTGTTTAAAAATCGTGGTGATTTTCTTCAGATGCCACTGGTTTTAGTAAAATTTAAAAATTGTTTTAAGACTTTTTCCCGAATAGATTTATATATACTCACATTTACTGGGGACATGCAATTTGTTTCTGAAACGAGTTCACAGTAGAAATGAAAATGTAAGATTTTACCCTCTATTTAAAGTGGTATGTTTTCCAGAACTAAACCTTCCTTTATCCACCTTGTAATGTCTCGCTTTTTAAAACTGTCTTACTAAGTTTTGTTTGTGTGTTTTAGGTTGTTTACTTCACAGCCACTTTTCCTTACGTAATTCTGATAATATTACTGATACGTGGATTCACCCTTCCAGGAGCTAGGAAAGGAATCGAGTATTTTCTGAAACCGGACTTTACTCGCCTGAAGGATGCACAGGTATGTCAACAGTTTCTTACTCATAAATATATGTCATATAATTTTAGAAATCAAATGGACGATTTAATATAATTAGGTACATATATAAGACTTTTAACATGGAAAAATTTTTCAGTAAACCACTTTGCTTGGAAACAAAAAAGTCTATTGTATTCAATCAAATTAAATTGTTGAATTTTCCATTTGTGAAATAATTTTCGTATATTCTTATACTTTTCAAAGAAGAATTAGAAGATGACATTATGAATAATTTTGAGTCTTTATAATGTTAATCTTTTTCATTGTTTTATGACAGGGTTGCATAAATTCATTAGTTATCATGCAAAATTAATCAAATCTAACATACTGAAAATTGTCAGAAATTTGACTTAAAAGATATTAAATTTATCTCAAGTAAAACTCATTTGGAAATAATTGATCGGTTGATACTTTATTTTTATTTTTGATAAATCCCCTATGGGCACTTTGGCACTGCATGCTTTAAATAGGTTTAGGAAAAAAGAAACAAGTACGCAGTTCTAAGTACTATTGTTGAACTGAGAGAAAGATGCTGCCTCAATATTGTTAAATACATTATAAACATATCATTAGATGAAATATAAACGGTCAGGGGTCGCTTTGAACATGACGACAGTGTCTGATACGTAGGTTGTAAATACATTTGTCATTAATATATCTAATTTTTTAGGATCGCTAGAACATGGGCGTGTCCTTCCAAGATTCAATTTTAACAAAACAATTGAACGTGAGAAAAGTAGTACTAACAAGAATTCAGTTTATTTTAAAAATTATATACAGGTAGAAATCTTTGTATATGAAATGTAATTAAAACTTAATAGAAATTTTCACCGTTGATAGGTCTTTTATGAAAGAAAACCAATTAAAAAACCTTCATTTTTGATGAATGAACTAAAGCATATTCTTTTATATATATGATAGTGGTTGCAGTCTTAATCAGCTGTTAAGTGGAGATCAAATGAATATGTGCGAATTGTACGAAAGTAAATGTTCACATATGTTTTTACGAAGTAATTCGCACATTAATGGAAATCAATAAAAATATTGAAATCTAAGTTTTGGGACTGGTAATAAATGTTTGAAGGAATAAAATGTGACAACATTTAAATAATCCAACTCACTAACTTCGTAGTGAAACGAAAAAGCATTTTTCTTCATCAATATAGAGACATAACTATACATGTAGCTTACGTCAAAAACGTGCAGGATAAATTATTAGAATTACAACCTGTGCTACTACTTTGAAGTTGATCTATTTAATGAAAGAACATGAAAGAAGAGGACCGAGGATTACTCGGTTTAGAACCGCTGTGTAGTCAATCAGTCATTATTCTGCAGGTTTGGGTGGATGGAGGGACACAGGTTTTCTTTTCTGCTGCGATTGCCCTTGGAGCCATGATAAGTCTCGGAAGTTATAACACTTTCAATACCGATTTCTATAAGTAGGAATTTGCTTTTTTAAGAAGAAAAGATTTAAATTCTTAAGGAAAAAAAATTCAATTTAACTTGATGAAATTGAATATCTGTACTATTTCAAATGATTGTACAACGTACAGGCAATCGAATCGAAAACACACACACAATATAATTTTATTTGATTTATTGAATACCAGATAAATCATTCATCTTCTTTTTGTACAAACAAATGTACATAAGAAAGAATATTAATTGACACCAGTGTTTCCATTTTATCTAAAAATGCATTAAATATAATAATTATATAAATAATTATATCACTCGTCATTACAACAATTTGATTTTTTTTAAGGAACTATGTTTTGTAGGCGCACTCTTATTGTGGCATCTGTCAACTGTGGAACTAGTTTTCTTAGTGGATTTGTTGTCTTTTCTGTCCTTGGGTTTATGTCCCATCAGCAGAATGTCGATATAAGCCAAGTCGCTGAATCAGGTCTGAATAGTTTACCTTCCAATGTAATTGAGTAATAATGAAGTAATACGCTTACAGTAATAAATGGTGGGAAACATTTATTAATCATGTAACTATCACAAACCTGGTGCACCAGGCCTATGAAGGAAGCTGTATTTTACTGCAAATCCCAAACAGAGTTCAATTATGCATGAAATATAGATATTTGATTTTTTCTTTAAATTTCAAATAGAAGAAAGCTTATATTTTGTTTACATCTATTGCTTGATCTTTTTCAGGTCCAGGTTTAGTATTTATGGTATATCCTAGGGCGGTTTCCGAGATGCCTCTTCCCCATCTTTGGTCAATACTGTTCTTTTTCATGTTATTTTTAATCGGGATCGATAGTCAGGTATATATACTGTAAACTTGATATTTTTTGCGAATAAATAACAAACACCATATACATCGTATCTCATACTTCTGTAAAAATCCAAAAGCGCCATTTCCTCATTTTCAGTATTGAAAGACAGAAATGCTTAAAGACAAAAATGTCATGTTCGGTCATCTGTTGCATAATTCAAAATATGATGTTGATGAAAAACTGCAAATATGATAATTCAGTCACAGACTATGGCATGCCAAACGTTGCAATATTCAATCTTTTCCATTTGTATAATTTTTCAATTGTATTGTATAATTTTTATTAGTGTTGTATAATTTACCTTTTGTATTTTATTATTTTCCATTTGTATTGTATAATTTTTATTGGTATTGTATACTTTTCCATTTGAATTGTATAATTTTCCATTTGTATTGTATAATTTCACATTTGTATTGTATAATTTTCCATTTGTTTTATATAATTATAAAATATACAAATGAAAAATATAGAATACAAACGGAAAATTAGAGAATATTAATAAAAATTATACACTACAAATGAAAAATTATACAATACAAATGGAAATTTTTACAATACAAATGGAAAATTATACAATGCAAATGGAAAATTATATGATACAAATGGAAAAGATTGAATTTTGCAATGTTTGGCATGCTGTAACCGACAGAATCTTGCGTCTAAACAAAAACAGAAGGAAGCCAAATAATAAATTTTCAAAGTACCTTTCAATTTTGATGAGCATTGAAGGTCGAAATATTACGATAAAGATTTGAAATTTGGCATGATATCATTAAAACTATCACTTTTAAGTCAGTCGTTTAGATGCTAAATTGTTAAAAAGGACCACGATGAAAGGATAATGATCTTGGCTTATGTTCATATGGGTGACAGAAAGGATAGAAAAAAATACGTTTATGCAAATTTAATGATTTCAAACAGGATAAACAAATGAAATCAACATATATGAATTCAAGCTAAAAATCACAAACGTACTTATATGCAAAGGAAACAAAGGTTGTCGACGCAAAAAAGTTATTGATTTGTACTAGTGACTGTTTATTGCACAATAAAGTTCATCTGTTTAAGATGTTTTAAATCGTTCGACGTTTGTCGTATATTTGCCTTTTTTTTTTTTTTTTTTTTTGCAATTTTAACCTTTTAACTTGTGCAAAATAAAAGAATGTTTTTCTCATGTGGTGTAAACAAGTAGTGATTGAACTTATTTAAATAATTTCATCATATCGATAGAAGAATAAAAATACAATGTATTTCAAAGTTGAACTATATATATATATATATATATATATATATATATATATATATATATATATATATATATATATTGGAACACCACTTGTTTATCTTCAACATCACCAATATCATTTGTTTTAGTTCGTAACGGTAGAATCAGCTTTGGCCCACGTGAGTGACATGTTCCCTCGTGTCCTTTATAAAACAAAGGGTAGAATAATACTGACGAGTGTGGCTTGTGTCATTTGGTTTGCAATCGGTCTCTCAATGGTGTCACGGGTAAGACTTCTACAGGGTTTCAATACTGTATACAGGGAAATTTTTGTCCCCGTTTTATTTTTCTTCTTTCGCCCTTGTTGCAAATAAGCAAATTTGATACCGGGCGAATGGAAAGAAGACAGTATAAAAGTGTCTGAGCGAATTTAAGAAGGGACAAAATTGTTTGCAAATGTGAGGGCGAAATATAACCCTGCATATGGTATTGATTAGTGATTATTAATGTAACTGTATATTAACACTCAACAAATCATATGATAAAAACAAGATTAATGGGGTTTCATCATTCTTAACATTTTAAGAGATAAATAATTTACATGTAAGAACGTATTAAATCTATCAATATTCTTTATGCAATATTTTTAGGGAGGAATGTACGTGTTTCAATTGTATGATTACTATTCTGCTTCCGGTATGGTGCTGCTATGGGTTGCCTTCTGGGAATCTATAGTCATTGGATGGATATTCGGTAATCAACATACTGTTTAATTATCTGGAACAATTGAATAATATATAGGACATGTCTTTTCTGAAAATCTCAACTGTTCGTATAAATTCTTTTCCTTGGTTATTCTGTTAGGCCATTCCAAGTTTTTTCTATGTTTAGCGTCCACCCATCTTTCAAATTTCCAAATATGACATATTGTAGACGGATACTTGGAGAAATTGACAGAATTCAGTGAATTCGACCAGAATAAACAATTTCAGAACTCCTGATTTTGTTTGTTTTTTCTGATGTGGGGTGTCAAAAACCAAGGCGCACGCGGACGCCAAACATAGAAAAAACTTGGAATGGCCTTATACCATAAAATACGAAAGCCAACACAGAGGATGAAAGTTCCGAAAATCTCGGCATATTTTCTAGATTTTTTTCTTATTTCTAGGTTCAGAAAAATTCTATGATGCCATAGAGTTGATGATTGGTTATAGAATAACGAAATGGTTCCACTTCTGTTGGAAATACTTTACTCCTATTGTAACAGCTGTAAGTGTTTACTTAATTAACTTCAATTTGTTACATGTAACCTTTTCTTTACATGATATAAAATTAATCTGAATTTATTTAAAGATCAAAGAAAAAAAAAACATATGATAAAAGTTGTTCCATGAATTTACTAGAAAAATCCATTTTATAATACATGATTAATTTATCTTAAATCTTATTCCTCATAATTTAACCACAACATATATTAAGGGCGGATTCTTGTTATGTTTTTGACCAACAAAAGTATTGAAGTTTATTTGCATAAATGGGTCATGATTTGTACAAACTGGAATCTACACTACCTGAGGATGATTCTGTATCAATATCACTAATTGTGGCTTTGTTGTTCTTGAGAAGAAGATTTGTAAAGATTTTTCCTATATATTCCTATGTAAAATTAGATCCCCCATTATGGCCCCACCCTACCCCCGGGGGTCATGATTTGAACAAACCTGAATCTACACTATGTAATTGAAGATTTCATATAAGTTTCAACTTTTTCAGCCCAGTGGTTCTTGAGAAGAAGATTTATAAAAGATACCACTAAATTTTCACTAATTCTTAATTATCTCCCCTTGAAAGAGGACGTGGCCCTTCATTTGCACAAATTTGAATCCCCTTTACCCAAGGATGCTTTGTGGCAAGTTTGGTTGAAATTGGCTCTGTGAATCTGAAGAAGAAGTCGAAAATGTGAAAAGTTTACAGACGGACGGACAGCTAGACAGCCGGACGACGGACAAAATGTGATCAGAAAAACTCACTTGAGCTTTCAGCTCAGCTGAGCCGAAAACAAGGGAAATATGAGGGGGGGGGGGGTTGGGAATGGAGGAATCAAACTATGCTAATGCCAGCAGTTGTAAATTTGAACTCTTGGGGTCCATTTTAAAAAAGAACTCACAACTAAGTCTAAAATATTTTAACATAGTTGTTAACTCTAATCACTGAATATTTTTTTGAGATTTGCTTTTTTAAAATTACCTTACTATTTTTTTTCATATAATTAAAGAATAAAATTACAATTAAATTCATGTAAAGAATAAAATGAATTGCAAAAGCGCTTAGTCTTAGTCATAAGTTCTGTTGTAAAACAAGCCCTTACATCAAATTTCAGATTTTTAGAGAGAAAATAGAAATTTGATGGGTGTAGAGATGTTGATTTTATATTAATTCATACGAGTTAAATGTTATTTATTAATACTGCATATTATTATACATGTATTATATTTATGTATTTATTATTTATAATTCATAAGATGAGAAAAAATTGGAGTGGGGAGCTAACCTTCTAACTTTGTAAAACATGTAGTACCTTTTGCGAGAGTTGAAGGGAGGTTGTCATTCATTAATTGATGCTGCAAATTTTCTGATAATATATTTGCAGTTTAAGAAAAAATTGCATTTATTTACAACGGAACATTTGGCACATACATGTGGCTTCATTCAACATTGAAATCAACTCACATTTACCTGTAAAATCTAATGATACACCTGAGTAACCTCATGACCTAGATTCAAACCTAATGTAATACTTGTTGGACCAAATTGTACACCCTATTGAACTATCCAGCAAGCTATGGAAAACTTTACCGGTATTTTGTAATTCGCTGTAAAGAATTTTCTGAAATAAATGAAATTGATTATTAAAGACATAAGTATTAGAATATATATTAAACAAATTTAAGATTTTCCAAACAAACCACAATCTTGTCAGTCTGGCATAAACTTCTTTCATTTTTTTTAACCTTAAACTCCCAAAACATATGGGTCAATAACAACTTAACTTGCCGCAAGATTGAATGGCATAAAAATTGCTCAAATGAAAGATCATATAAAAAATGAAGTTTATAAGTATTATCCACCAAAAAGGGGATCAAAGTTTCAAAAGTTTGAAAATTCTTCTTTTAGAACAGCTCTGCCACAATAAGTTAGATCAATATGTATATTTATGCTTATGTAGTTTAGAATCAAGCTTGTTCAAATCATGACTCCAAGGACTTAAATTTTTTTTGGACATAATTATAGATTGGAAAAAACCTTTAAACATTGGAACAATGAGTCGAATACTAGTAAATAGGAGCAAATTTCTACACTGGAATGTAATCTAAAAATCTTAAAAGTATATGAATCTTAAGTGAAACGAGCCAAATGCAAGCAAGAATTGTTTAGTTACGAATCAAGTTTGTTCCAATTATTGACCTCGTAGCTTGGATAGGACTTCAGTTGGGATCAAAATTTTTACAAAAGATTTAATAGTATAAAAAGGTCCTTCTAAAGAACAACAACGCTACAAACAGTCAAGCTATTAAGAAGGATTCAATTTGACCCAGGTGGGCATCGTGACTTTTAGGACTCTTTTGTTTAATTTAACAGGGCATTTTTGCGTTTCAAGTAATAGGATTTAAAGCACTAAAATACAACAATGTTTATGAGTATCCACCCTGGGCAGAGGCCTTAGGACTGATGCTGGCCCTAGTGTCCATGTGCTGTATTCCATTCTATGCAATCTTTAAGCTGTTGTCCTTAAAAGGATCAATAAAAGAGGTAAAACAATTTCCAATCGCTTTCTTAAATTGTTTGTAGTTCTATTGCATGGCAGATATATCTCTGCTAAGAACTTTAAAACTGACACTTTGGTGTTATTTTATAACTTCACTCGTTTCAATGGCTATAAAGGCAGTTCTTTAATTTCTGTCTACTAAATCAATTTTAATTATCTTTGAATATAATCTAAGTGTATGATGAACATTTCTACGAAAGGAAGATGTCCATGTATCTTCTCTAGCACTTTGTGAATTGGAAATAAAAACAAATATTAATCAATTCATGTTCGCTGATCCTTAAATTAAGAAGACCATTCAAATTTCTGTTCTTTATATGTTATTTCATTTTTTTAGAGTTAAAACCATCAAAAAAAATCTCTATTTCAAAGAATATAAATTGAGGCATTTGATTTATTTTCTTTTCAGCGCTTGAGAATAGCAACTAGACCACATTTAACCACAAAACAGTTATATAAGGATTGGGTGCTAGAGGAAGACAAGCTGCTAGTGTTATAAGACATCTACATGTATTTAGTTTAGCTAGGTCTCTACTATTCAAGGAATAATCGTAAAATAATTTGATTTTATTTCTTTATATTTTGTTTAAAAATGTGTAGATTTCAAGTTTCAATAATAACGTGCATGTGTACTCTGCGAGGTTGAAGAAAGAATGTAAAAATTGTTTGAGACAGCAAAATGTTTATTAATGACTAGGCTCAACTTTATCTCATAGGAAATAGTTTATGGCGTTTTGGAGATTACAGAAATAGTAATTGATAGGTTAAACAAACTTATGTATGTAGTATGGCATGTTTGAAAATAATTTTTAAAGGTATCTTTTTCATAATCATAGCAATTGTTGAATCAAGACTAAATTTCTTTTACAATCTGTATCTTACTTTTATTCCTTTTGATAGAAAAATGGATCTGTTATTTGATTCGTATTATGTTTGATATTTTCTAACCCAGCAATAATTAAAAACAATAGGTGCAAGTACTACAACGCTCACCTGAGTAACTTTGGACGAGGTGTTTTTGAATCATATTTTGACCTCAACCTAGCAAGGGGTTATGATTTAATCAAACTTGAATCTACACAAGATTAGAATGCTTTAATATCAATATGACTAATATGGTTTTCCTGTTCTGAAGAATTTTTGAAGATATATTTTTTTGTATTCATCCATTTTGTAAAATTTTATCCCCGATAATAGGGGCTAGTATTCGAACAATTAAACTGAATACACATTATCTGTGGTGCTGTTCTATTAATATTAGTTCTCACGGCTCCGTTGGTTTTGAAAAGAAGATTTTTCCTACATATTTCCAAGTAAAACATTGATCCCTAATTGTAGACCACCTTTTCCTGGAGCCATGATTTGAACATATTTGAATCTGCACTACCCAAGGATGCATATAGTCAGAGTTCCATTTCATGAAATTCTTCAAAATCACCTTTCAGTTTTAAATACTTTTAACATTCCAGTCAATGGAAGTAAATTTGATATACCGTACGTATACTGGATTCCAAAACGTCATAAAAATCCTTACAAAGATATATTGCAGGGTTCAGTAAATGTTTAACCAAGCCCCTATGCTTACTCCTTACCATAAATCCAGTAAACAAAAAGAATTGTGAACAGGGCAAAAAAGGACCCTCTGGAAACACCAGAGGCGGGATCAGGTGCCTAGGAGACGTAAGCATCCCTTGTTGACCGGTCACACCCGCCGTGGGCCCCATTTATTGATTAGGCATACGGAGTACTCCATAGTCAAATTTTGTATTAAAGCAATGACCTAACAAATGGTACCAGACATGTTAAACAAAATACGACCCAACTCTAGTGTGTATTTGCAAACATAGTCAATGTAACGACCGTAGAATTTGCGAAAAGCTAACATTAAATGGGGTTGTTGAAATCCTTGTAACATCAACTTCTTTGACAGTAGCTTGCATCAGTTTAACATTGATGGTACTCAGAGAATGTTCTTGCGTATCGTATCAGTTGGGAAACATAAACATCATATGCAGGTGATGTAAGAATATTACTACATAAATAAGGAAAGTTGACGGTGGAAAAGCTGATGCCATCCCGTTTGTCATACAGTTTAGTTATTAGTTGGCCATTATCATCTATAGTTAGTAAAACATCCAAATATGAAACAGATGTGGAAGTGTTTTTAATTTCAAGTTCACTTGGATATATCGATTCGACATATGAATGAAAGTAACTATAATTGGTAAAACGTCGTCGATATATCTAAAAGTCGACTTGAAGGTTACAGCAAGAGTTTTCGTCTCATGTAGATATTTTTCAATAAATTCTGCTTCATAGGAATATAAAACAGATCGGCTAATAAAGGAGCACAATTAGTGCCCATATAAAACTCCTATTGTCATCCTACGACTGGAAGTTATGATTCAAACAAACTGGAATCCACATTGCTTGAGGATGCTTGAAGATGACTAATCATGGTCCTGCTGTTCTTCATCAGATTTTCTCTGTGTATTCCCATGTAAAACTTTGATTTCCTGTTGTAGGTGCATCCTAACCCCGAGAGCCTTGAATTGAACAAATTTGAATCTTCATTATTTCAACAGGTTTACAAATAAGTTTCATTTTTGTAGTCCCAATGGTTCTTGATAAGATTTCTTTTAAAAACATCCACCCTATTTGGCTTTCTCTTGATTTTATCCCCTTTTTCTCGAGAGCGTGGTCCTTCATTTGAACAAACTAATTCCCTTTTCCCAGGGATATTTTGTGCCAAGTTTATAATCAAAATTAATCCAGTGGCTCTTGAGAAGTCGAAAATGCGAAAGTTTACAGATAAACAGACTGGCGAACGACAGACAAACTTTGATCGGAAAAGCTTACTGGAGTCGTAGGTGAGCTAAAAAGGCCCAGTTGTCCGCTTTCTTTTGTTGATCAGAAATACATAGTATAGAATTTTGTTTGTTCAGTTTGAAACACCGCTCCCTTATAATTAACTATTTATGCATACTTACATGTAAGAAATCTTTTTTCTTCAATATGAAGGAACCTCGAACTCATTTTCATAATGCAAATACATTACTCTATGACTTCCACTTTACAATTTTTTGATGGAGGACTGATGAGAAGAAATTTGTATGCAAAGAAAAAAATCTGTCTTATAAAGCTAAGGAAGGTATAAAAATAAATTAAGAAAATGACTTTATTGACAATAGTTTTTTCTATTCTCTCACTTTAAATTCGCGAATTCAAATGCTCCACTGCAAAGTCTGACTCAAACTTCTCCATAAAATGATTGTAACACTAGTAAAAGCAAGATTAAATGAAAGGGGAAACCTGCTATTGGGGGACGTCTGACTCAATAACTAGTAGTATAGTAGGTCTTCCTCATTGAAGTGTGGCTCTAAAGTGAAACATCCCCGAGGGTCCTCCTGCTCTGGATTCAGACTTCCCTCCAGGGGGAAGTCTAACTCTAGAGCCAGACCTCCGGAGGAAGTCTCATTCTCGAGCATGTCTTCCGGGGGGGGGGGGGGTTCTGTCTATGGGGAAAGTCTCATTCTACAACACAGGCCGTCCAAACGTTCCATAGGCCGACTTCCAATCACAGTTATAAGACCAATTTTATCAAATCTAAAAGAATAAAATGACTCTATTGATTGTGGTTTTTCTCATTTTTGTTCTTCTTACCAATAAAACGTGTTTTGTAATTGCAATAATAAATTAATTGCACAGTTTTATTGATGTTGAATAATATTCTTTCTTGGTCTAAATTGATTCAGGAATCGATGGCAGTTTTACATTAAAAAAGATGATACGAATTTTGTATGTTACCACCTATTACAAACAACCGTTTGCTTGTTGTTTTGATGTGAGTAGTCAGTATGGACTTACGTAACAGACCTCTTAGAAATGTGTCCTTTAGCGAGGTGATGCTCCGCTTTGCAGTGCCCTTGTTTCCTATTGAAAGCCAGAAAAAATAGATTAAGAAGAGATATAATTAGCTGTCTGCAATAAATAATTCCTGCAGGGTTTTTTCTCTATAAAATTTATTTTGAAAGTCAGGTTAATAAATGAACATTGACATCCTGTACGCTTAAGTTTGTGTTAGGGGGAAAAATTACTATAAACAAATCAATTCCACAGAGAAAAAAAATATCACCTCTTTATTGTTTTATTGTTGCGCATGTGGTTGTATAATTGAAGGGGAATATTGATGAGTAAAAAATAACAGAAATATCCACTAATATTGATTCATCAGAAATTCATGTCTACACTTTTTTTCACAGGGTCAATATATTTTCTTGCAGCAGTAAAGGTCTTACTCTATAAAAAGAACTTTGGATATAGAGCATATTAAGGGTAGACAATTCTCTAGATAGTAAAGAGGGAGAAAATATCACAAAAGTAGAATATCATAAAATTATCCAATGAAAACGAATGTAAAATCATACAATTATTTACAATTAATACAAGGTAAATGGATGGAATCAAATATACGCGTATCTATACAGTAAAACTCGGCTATAGAGAAGTCTTTGAGCCGAAAAGTCTTTGAGACTTCAAAATTTGCTTCCTTATAATCGAGATTCTTTGTATCCATAAGAAACACAGTCCAGAGTCTCCTGCGGATACCATGAAAACCTCGTTATAACCGAGATTTCCTTGTAATGAAAAAGGTGAAAAATAACGAAGAATGATCGATCTCAAAACAATCTACGGAAAGGATTAATAAAAAAAGTTGTCAAAGATACAGACGTAGCCTTTCTCTAATTGAACAGCGACATATATGACAGTAATTTAAAGATTTTGCACACTGATCACATGACGTGTGTCCACACTGAAAGGCTAAGTTTCTGTTCCTTTCATAACAAATTGAGCACAGATTGTCCGAATCGGCTTCCATAATGTTAGTAACTTGGCCACCCCCAACGGCAACAGCTGAAAAAAATGTAAATTTTTAAAATACTTTTGAAAACTGTAACATATGTATCTTAAATGGCTTTAAAGTGTATCACATTAAAGTATATTCTCCTGATCTGTTTGTTCGAATCATACTTACGTTGTGTTTTCTCCGACCAGTACAGGTAATACATAACTATCCCCCATAGGAAGCCTAGGATTAAGGTTACAATGTGGGTAATGAAGGACATAATCCGCTGTACAAATTAATATACAGAAAGGTATATACATAGAAAAAAATAGTAGAATAAGCTTTTAATAACACTACCCACTTTCGGTTTACATGACGTATTACATTCAAAACTCCTACGGAGGGTCTTTCGAGACATCAACAAGAAGGTTTCAAAATAACATTGTCTAAAGCCACGGGTCTTTTCCATAAATCTGTGGCTTCCTGTTGTAAGATTCACTCCAGCTCGTACTTGCGAATGTATGAAGTGACGCCAGATTTAATTAGGCACACATTATTCTACACTATTGAACAATTTTGGGATCGTTTTCCTGTCGAAATCATGTTCGCTATAGTATTTCCACTATGGTAGAGTCTATTACTTAACCAGTCAAGCAGTTCGGGAAAATTAATTCCAGTATGAACTGCCTGACTGGTTAAGTAATAGACTCTTCCTAATTATCAGAGGAAAATGCTATTGATCTCAAGGAACAGCGGCGAATGTATTTTGAAATACTGAGTAAATCAAAGTACAAGGATTGACTGTGTGATTAAGTTGAAAACAGTAACTCGTTTGTAGGAGGATTTTGAAGTCGAATCAATGTTTTAAAATTGAAATGCTCAAATACCGCAGCATCCATAGGCCGATCATTTTCACCAGACGAAGGTTTCGGACAAATACCGAGTATTATTCATTAGTTGAATGTGCATTCAATATGTTTATGAGAACGAGCTAATTTTGCATCAGCTAGCTACAGCTTTGTGGAAAAAGAATCGAACAAAAAAAAAAAATATCTACATTTATCTTTCAGTAGTGGAACACAGTGCTGATATTTAATCCTAATATTTTTTTTCCTTAATTTGCCCCCCCCCCTCCCCCCTTCTACACTTCTACCACAGGTGTGGTTCGTTGGTTGAATTGCTTGTTTGTTTACGATCCTTCTAGACTTTCTCAATCGTACGTTTTTTTTTTTTATAGATTATGTTTAGATTCAAAATAAGTACGTCAACACGCAACATAATATACCAACATGCAAAATAAAAATATTGACATAAACGGAAAGTGTGATCGCTTAAAAATTACGAAAAAAAATCATAAAATATCAGATATCACCCATATGTGATATCATGCGAGATGCAAGATATTGATGTTGACACATGGCTTATTTCTGTTCAAGTTTAATTCACTGAATATGCATATAATTACTATGGCGACATATTTGCCCCCTGTATGCAAGTTATTCTATATATTTTGTCGACATGCAAGATAATTATGTCAGCATGCAAAATAACTATGTTGAAATGCAAGAAAATGTACTCAGATAAGAATTTTGAATTTTTCAAAAAATGTCAAATAGCGCTCACATGTGACTTCTAACATGCAATTTAAGATGCAACTTATTTATGTCGGCATGCGACTTATTTACGTCGACATGTAACATATATATGTTGAAAACGTTTTTATGCAAACATAAAATACGAAGGTAACAAATAGTAATCATTCTCAAAAGTCCATTGAAACAATACAAATCGTGAGCAGAGCCAACACTGACACCAAAGATCAGGTGCCCTGGAGGAGAAAGCACCCCCTGTCGACGGGTCACACCCGCCGTGTGCTCTTTGTCATTATTAGATAAACGGGAAAATCCGTAGATAATTCAGTATGTTTTTTATGGATGTCAGCCAACTTTTAGTCTAAAGACAGATTGTATTTTCAAACAAGGTCATAGTATCGACCACAGAATTTGCGAAATGTTGACTTCAAGCGAAATTGTGGATACCCTTGTATCATGTATCATCAACCTTTTTTTCACTAGCCTGCCTTATTTTAAATATAGTTCATACGAAGTACATGCTCTTGCGTGTCGAATCAACCGTGAGACATAAACCCCAGCTATTAGACATAAACCCCATATGCGAGTGACAATAGTATATTGCTGCATAAATAGGGCAGTTATTTATGTTGACATGCGAGATAAATATGTTGACATACAACTTATTTATGCTCACATGCAACTTCTTTTATATTGAAACGGGAGATAAGTTGCATGTCAACATAAATACTGCATGTAAACATAAACAAGTTGCATTTCGGCATAGATAAGTTGCATCTAACATGTTGGAAGTCAAATATGGGCGATATTTGACAGTTCATGAAAATTGTCCAAATTCTTATCTGATCACATTTTTCTTGGATGTCAACATAGTTATGTTGCATGCTGACATATTTATGGTGCATGTTGACAAAATTATCTTGCACGTTGACATAATCTGTAGAAAACTAACTTGCTTATTGGGGCAGATATATACCACCATAAGTTACATATAAAGATTAGACAGAGCAGGGAAATGAAGTTTAGAATTTCAAGCTTTTCTGTCCATTACAAAATGTAAACATTCTCGCAAGCTGATTTAAATAAGATGTATGTTGTTATAAATGTTTCACGTCGACGTAAATAAGTTGTATGTCAACATAAATAAGTTGTATTTCAATTGTTGGAAGTCACATTTGGGAAATATTTGATGTCTTATTAAGATTTTACCGATTCTTATTCGATCACATTTTTCCTTGCATGTCACCATACTTAAGTTGTATGTTGCCATATTTATGCTGCATATGGTCATAATTATCTTGTATATTGGAATAACCTTTAGAAAAAATACTTTGCGTATAGGGGCAGAAATATATATTTTTTATATGGTGGCATATGTATAACCCTCAACGCAAGTTAATTTTCTAAAGATTTTTTGACACACAAAATACTTATAGTTGACTTGCAGTGTAGACACGTTGACATGCAACAAAACTATATAAAATTTCCAAATAGAATATAGCTCATAAATAATATTAAAAAACTTTTAGTCATACCTGACCGAGCCTGTCAATTTTACCATTTAATACTATGGAATTCTTGATCAATTTTTGTGATTACAATGTACAGTCCATCACATAGTTTTTTTTTTTTAAACTTACGCTTCCATGCATTCAAAGAAGCGTAAGTATATTTGTCCAGCAATGTTTTGAACTGCGCTTGATTCTCGAGTTATAACTTCGTAATTTCAAGTTGTCATTTATCGTGTTTTTCTAACATTTTCTTTTACAACTTACGAAACAAAATTTGTTATACATTTACGCCTCAAGTTTAATAGATAACCACACCACATTGCGCAAAATCAGAAAGTCATAAATATCAAAATATTATACAAATACTTTTTACTAGATACATGTAATAATAAATGAAGAGAAAATTCGATACAGTAAAATATGCATCTTTTAAGTCTTACCAAGTTAATAATAAAATAAAGGGATTTCCTGTTTTTTATTTTAACTCTTAAAAAAAGGATTAAGCTTCAAAGAACAGATAAGATATGAAATGAAGTATCTAGTGTGCGTTTCAATTTGTTTCAGAACACATTACATATACCATAAAAGTCATGTTATAATGCTATAATGGAGTATCATTTGAGTTCATCTTAGCAACATTCTTAACATCAAAATGGAAATCGTGAATTTAGTGTCATAATATTTGAAAGATTTGCTGTACAGAATTACACAGTTATATGATACGCAATTCCTAGCGACATTTACAACTTCTTTTATGTTGCCATAATTTTTCAGAGAAAAGTGCACACAACTAGAACCAGCGGAAATCACTGTTTTTCCAAAGAATTGTTCGTCAGTACTAAGGTCATAGGCAAATGAATTAAGGTTATAATATATATAAATAAAGGAACTCTTTTTCAAAGTACTAGCACAGATAACTCGTAGTTTATCTATATATACCTTTATGACAATAAACAATACGATTTTTATTAATCAGCAATCTACGCCTTACCACGGGATCATTTGTTTGTTTGTTTTTTTTTTTTTTTTTGCCAAAATCAAATTTTTATTTTAAATAAGATTTTTATAGGAAGTAGGTTAATAGTTACAAGGTGCTATTTATCCTTATAAGATAAAAGACATAGAGGTCACTAAGAAAAAAAGAAAGGTTTTTAACCATACCCACATTTATCAAGTTGGCATTTTAATGATATAGACAATGTCATGTTAATGCAAGAGATCACTTGTTAAATATAATTTTTTCTGTTTTATTAGTAATGGGTTAATGTGCACATCATAACTTACTCTGTTTAATTGCCAAAATATCTCTAAAATGTGGAGTATTTTGGAGTATTTTGGAAGACCACCCAAAGATATTCGTACATAAAAGAGGACATAACAAATATGTTTCTTAAATTTGCCTTACAAAGAAAATAAGATAAGGGAAAAAGTTTATGTTTGCTATACGAGGATAGCGTGAATGAATTCATTATTTTTTTCTTTTTTAAAAACAGTATTTAAATTACTCTTAAATGAGAGATATCCAATTAATAAGGAGGGGTTCTTCTCATTTTTATTGTATTTAGAATTTAATGAAATTTTCATAGATTTGGGAAGACAATATCATTAAGTGATGGTATGAATAAGATTAAATTTGACCGTTCTATTTTAGCAGCAGGTCATTTTCCTTTTCTCTTGATGTTAAGGGAAAAATTACTGTTGCCAATCACTGATGCCTGCTTCCCCATTTATTTGAAAATATTAAATGTTTTTCTTTTACGTAGAAAGATGATGCCACATAAGATCTATCAGAAAATAGTACCAAACTGAGATAATTCAAGAAAATAGATGAAATATATAGAGATAACGAACAGTATTCAAGCTCAAAAGTCCATCAAACAATACAAAATAGGAGCAGAGCACACACGGACCTCCAAAACATCAGAGGTGGGATCAGGTGCCATGGCGGAGTGAGCATCCCCTGCCGACCGGTCACACCCGCCGTGTGCTCCTTGTCATGATCGGGAAATAACGGAAAAAACCCGTCGACAATTCAGTGTGTAAATAATGGCCTAACAATTAGTATGAAAAAATGTCAGTCAGCATTTGACTCAATGATAAATTGTATTTGCTGACAAGGTCATTGTATCGACCATAGAACTTACGAAATGGCGACTTTAAACAAGACTGCCGATATTCTTGTTTCATCAACTTGTTTGTCAATAATTTACCTCGTTTTAGAAATTATACATACGTAGAGCATGCTCTTGCGTATCGAATCAACTGAGAGATATAAACCCCGTATGCAGGTGATGAAGGTATATTGCTGAATAAGTAAGGGAAGTTGACGATTGAAAAGTTAAAGTCATCACGTTTTTATCATAAAGCTTGGTTGTTAGATTACCAATAACGTCTTTTTCAAGTAAAATATCCAAATATGAAACAGATGTGTCAGACTCTGTGGTATCATTTATGTCAAGCTCACCGGGATATATCGTATCGACATTGTTAATTGACAATACGTCGTCGATATATCTAAATGTCGAGTTGAAGGCCACAGCAAGTGTTTTCTTCTTTTCACGTATAAGATTTAATTTGGACAAATTCTGCTTCATATGAATACAAAAAAAAGTCTGCTAATAACGGGGCGCAATTGGTACCCATGCGAATTCCAATAGATTGTTGGAAGACCTGGTCTCCAAAAACCACATATATATTGTCAATCAGAAACTCAAGCATCTTTTTTTTGTCAACTTCAGAGTACTTGTGTGTACAATCAGAATGTTTTTTAACAAAATAATTTTGCAAATGACCAATGACACGGTAAGTAAATTTACGAGTTCCATTTTTATCGAAAAAGCAGCTGTCAATGATATCAAAAAGCCTGGACTTTATTTTTTCGTGGGGAATGGTTGTGTATAAAGTTGAAAAGTCGTACGTTTTTAAGCTGTTGATTTTGGTAAAATCTTGTGATTTCAAATTTTCCAAAAGTTCCTTGGAATTTTTAAGTATCCACATCTGATTCACACCACTTCTCGAATATATTGCTGCACAGTACTTTTGAAGTTTCTCCTTCACTACTGTTAATATCCTAGTGAGGAGTAGAGAAAGGGGCTTGGTTGAACATTAACTGGAACCCGCTATGTATCTTTGTTTGTAAGGATTTTTATGAAGTTTCGGAATCCAATATAGATATGGTAATTCAAATTCATTTTGGTTGTTTGGAATATTAAAAATATTCAAAACTGACATATGATTTTGAAGAATTTCTTCCTTAGAAAGGGAAATTTGAGTATAAGTTGGATTACCCTTGTAGAATATAAGTTAACCCAGATTTCCTCTAATTTTCTTGAATTTTTAAGGAATATTATTTTTCTATGCTTCATATATTAAAATTTTTCTTATTTTCACATATGTTTGAGTAGTCATATAAATTTTAAGCTACAAAATGATACAAAAAAGAAAAGAAAACCCCGAAAACATTTAAGTTAAATAAGAGAGAAAGAACAGTATTTGTTGATTTTTCACTCATATGTATTTAAAGTTTGGAAGCTTACAAATGCTGAAAACATTGTAATTTGTTTGGAAATAAATATTTGTTTCTTATATTTACTTCAGAAAATCCTTTAAGTCTTTGATTATTTAAAAATGGGAACTAAAATCAGAATTTCGTAGTAGGTTTGAAAAGAGAACATATGATATATCCGTACGCCACTGTTCCATCCAAATATAGTCCCTGCTAGATTTTAAACCCAGTTTCCCATTTCTACGCTAAGCTGTTCATTTGTGAGAAGAAAAGAAAAAATGTTATCTCACAAATTTCTGAGACATTTAAGCAAATATAATTTGAATTTTCTGATTAGTCAGAAACAAGACAAAAATATCGCCTTAAAGATTGTAGCTTGTTTTGGATAAAGACTTTCATAAATTGCCCTTTTGCATTTTATCAATTGTTTTTCAGCCTAATATTTTTAGAAAAACTAGTTTTCTTGTAGGTATACCAAATGTTTTGACCTTCTACGTACATGTAATAATAAGTTTGATAATCAGCCTTGGATGCTCGTGGACTTTGCTTTGTCGATGTTACTTAATAAAGATAATGGATTATTATTGTTTACAAACAACATACCAGCTAATAATAATGCCTCATTAATCACTGGGACCCCATGGTTGACCTCTCACCTCAGGACCACATGTTTGTGGAGGTAATTTAGTGGTCAAGACTGCCACTGACATATATTTAAAGTCACTATACTATTAAATTTTTTTCATTTTCGCCTAGTTTTATATAATACCTATCTTTCATGTTAGTCAGCTTGTCTGTGTACAATATATGTAATGGAGTTAATGATTTATTTTAAATCATGTTATTCATCAAATGCAATTTTAGAAAATATTAAAGTTAAAACAAATCTTTTTTCCCTCAGTTTTTTTTTAAAAAGAATTTACCAATCTTTTTTTTGATGCAGTATTTTATTTGTTAATGGAAATTCAAGTGAAATAATTTCTTAATTCTAATGCACTTATTAAGTATTACAACCTATCTATTTTAAAGGTACGAAATTACAATTTACCAAAACTTTTAATTAAAATTCATAAATTTTCAATCATGTTCAGCATCACATATACATGTATGTAACAGGTTATGAAACAAATATTCTCACGTTCATTATACTTATGCAGTTTGGACAGAACAGATCTGTAGAAGGTGATTCCGTTGATTGATGGCGCTATTCTTCACTGAACCGACGTTAAGTAATCTGTTTGTGACCCCCGACTTCCGGAAGTATAACGAACACCATATAAAAGTATATTCTTATGCCTATAAGTATTTGTTTTATAAAAATAAGAGAGGACACACGTCTTTCGAATGGCTTTTATATTCCGTTCGAAATATTTTTATGAAATGAAAGCTAAACCACAGGGTATTTTTTTCATTTTTTCTATCTAAAATGGAAGTGTTATTGTCAGAATTGATGACAAACATAATGCAATTATAAAATAATTGGAATTTTTTTTGTATCATTAAGAAACCAGAATAAATTATTTCAATTCGATGAGGGTCTTCTACACGTTTAACTTGGAATATTCTATTTTAGACCTTACTACGGTGAATTTGGAACAGTATCATGCAATCAAAAGTTGCAGATGTGGACAAATATCAATAAACGAAAAGAAGGACCGCCATGAAGAGACCTTTTTCCGGAAGCTGAGTTCCTGGCGATGGCGTGTTGCATATTTGGCTTTGTTTGGAATGATCACGCAAATTATGCACCGGAACTGCATCAGCTTTGCGTTGGTGTGTATGTGTAAAGGAGCAAAGGCCAACACAACCGTTCCACATTCACACTCAGAGAATGGTGAACTATTCATGAACGAGGTAAGTGATGTAAAGCTTGATATCTCGAATTAAATTAACCGTCGTCAAACATCGCAAAATATCCGAATTTAAAATTTATCGAAGTTGATTCTCGAACTGATAATGCTGTTGCGGCCATATATCCCTAGTATTCGAATTATAAGTGTTCTATATATGGAAGTTCAACTGTACATAATAAACACGACATACTCGAAGAAATGAGAGTGGTAGAAAAAAAATTAGCACTGCCAACAAAAATACAGTAGCATGCAGTAATAAGTTTTGGTGGAGTTTTATATTAAGACACACACACAAAAAAAAAAAAAATCAAAAAATTAGGTCTTACACAAATATAAAATATTTTCTGGAAAAAAAGCAAGTTTTATAATTATTTCAATATTAATGTATTAAGTTTACAAGGGGCAAGGGACAGGGAATGAAGAAAATATTGTAGTCAAAAAGGTTAAGTTTTGCTTAACTTTTGTGCATAAATTTGTCGCAATTTTACAGAATATATCAAATTAAGTTTCCAATATTTTATTTTTTATGTCACATATACGTATTGTATACTTTACCAGAGTTAACTCCAAAAATTATGACGCCGCGTGCAGTGATGGTATACTCGGCATTTTATGGATTTATGTAATTTCCACTTCACTGGAAAAAAGGGGGATTTACCAAACTGCACTGCATTTTAATTCTGACGTACAATATATCCGTAGTTCGAATTCACAAGAAACACTTTCTTACTTCTATGTTGATGTGAATTTGAGGACATTAATTCATATTTATGGTTTTATTTTAATACATGTATTGATTTTGTTATTTTGACACAAAAAAATAAGCAATTATTTAAGTGCTGATTTTTGTTCAATGGAAATAAGTTTATCAGTAGCATGAAGTGAAATTTCGTATGTAATTTGAAAAAAAAAATGTGTGATCCATTGTGCCCTTCCTGCACTTACTATTGTTAACAATCTGTGTGTAACAGGGTGTGAAGGTGAATTTGCGGTAGAAACAAGAGCGATTAAGTATTTACAGTATGTCAAATAGTATGCAAAACAAGATCATGCCAACATTTTACTGTTGGATCTAATGTCCTTTTATGTCAGCTATTAAGATTTTAATTAGGTCATCCCTGTTTGAGTTGATATAGCCCTATGTCGTTCTTCTGCTCTTTCATTCACATAAAAACAAGGTCACGTCGTACGCGTGTCGTATTAAACATTTTTATGACGTCATCTTTTGTTTTTGTAGTCAAATATTGGCAAGAAATCTCTATTTCTCTTCTTTAATGATAAAAAGTCCAATTTTGGTCTAGATACGCTACTGTTTTAATATTTGACTAGTATCACGGTGGTGGAGTGGGAATATTGCAATTGAATCTGTAGCAAAAGTCAGTAAAAATTTCTATCGATCTTCAATTGCAAAATATTTTATATAATAATAATAGGGGAAGGGATGTCAATACGGAAAATACCTTGGTATAAAAACCTCAATTCCGTTTTCATATATAAAAAAGTATCGGACCGGATTCGGGTCTCAGCAAAACCAACATATTTCAGAATTTTAAACCGTTTTCTGCTAATAAATGTATACCCCTCACAGAAAATGGATAACAAGATATACATGTACATGTATCAGATTAAGGGTGAAGAAAAAAATTTGAAAATTATAACAATGATCTTTACCATAGTACACCAAGCTTAACTAACAGACGATGAACCGAGAGAGATATAGAAACCAATGAAATAAATATTAAACAAGAACTTCATTCATTCAGACATAAGTGAAGAGTCGTATAGACTATAGATATGAGCTAAAAATACGAAGTTCACTTCAAATAATTTTGTTTCCAAATTACATGAGTATATGTGGATTTTAATATATAGAAACTGGAAAATAAAATTACCCGTGTGAAAACTTCAAAGATATTTGAATTAGTGTTTGGAAGAAAAAGAAGATTTCGAAGCGTCATCGGCGATGAAAAGTGTGTTTTGTGTTTCAAATAATGTTTAAACAAGTAATTTATTTATTTCATGAGATTTTAAAATAGATCAATGTATTGTGCTGATGGAATAATTTTAACTACAATTTATAAAAGATTTTATAGCTTAAGTAACATTCCTTTTGCATCAATCTTTGTACGAAACCATGTTCTCAATGAATTTACCATTGTTTATTTTGGTGCGACTGATGAAGATGAATAACAGTCTAAGATTGTATAAACGTCCACTTCTACATGACATAAGGTCAAGGAAACAGAAGTTAGGTTTTTTTCCCTTTGTTTAATTTGATTGAACTGTCACATCAATTATACTTTACACCATTAGAAAGTCTGTACATGATTGTACATAGCTCGTTAATGTCGTACTGAAGAACAGTAATTCTGTAACACAGTATGTTTCCTAGCTAAGCGTATTTGAAGATATTACAATCATGATAAATTAATTACAATGATATTCAAAGCGGTGTTTGCATTGACTGCATAAACAGTGCATTTTTAATTTCCTTAATTTAAAAATTATTCATATTTTATATATTTATATTATTTCTGTACAACTTGAAATAACTACAATTACATTAATGATCCTTTAACCACTAAAGAAAAATTGGACTTTTGATTTTCATATGGAGTTGTATGTATTGAGTAAAGGAAGTTCAATATCAATATAGAGTACCTGCCATACCCCCCCCCCCTTACCCCAAAAATGTTCAACGACAATAGAGTATCAATAAGATACCTCCTTAAGAAATAACTGTGTACTGGATCTTATTTCATTTTCTCTGACTTAATGAAATGGCCTTTTTAAGTATGATTGATTCTGTTGCCAGTTAAATCAATAGTTACAGCGCTATAGTCAACAGAAATAAACTTATATATATATATATATATATATATATATATATATATATATATATATATATATATATATATATATATATATATATATATATATATTAGGGATGTCAAATCGGTCAATTTTTGATAATCGGTTACTCGGACGTTTTTCCGATCGAGTACCCGGGTACTCGGTAAAAATGAAAATACAAGACAGTGTGATAATTTTCTTGAGCCCGGTAAAGCTCTGTTAAATCCCAAAGCTGTTGTATCACGTTTATAAATGTATATAAACAACTGAGTCAAAGGGAAATGATTTTTGGTACCAAATTTATTTATCAAATAAACTGAAAAGACACAATTAATGCATAAAAAAAATGGTTTACAGTTCTTGTTTAGGACCTATTTCATCAACGCAAAAGGACAATCTGTTAGGCAGTTTTGTGATGTTAGACAAACGAAAGAGAAGGAAAAGACGTTCTTGGGATCGCTAATCTAATCATTTCATAATTTGGTTGTTTCCCATTAAACCTACTACGCAAACTGACTTTCAATTTTCTTAAAATCTTTAGTTATTTCTAAATATTTCTTCACTTTTGAAGTGGGTAGCTGCATTTCTATGCATGTCCGATTTCGCTACCGTATATTAATTAAATAATTTAAAAACGATTTGACTATAATAAACCATACTTAAACGATGTTTTCTGAAAACAATCATTGAAGCCATCCAAAACTTAGGGACCACAATAGGAGAGAACTGCTGTGTACCAGATGATTGGTCATTAATTACTGTATATACACAGCCACAGGCGATAACAGGTGTTTTACAGGTGTAGATGACGACACGCTAATTACATGTACCGTATGAATATTTAAGTAATTTTTTGATAAGTTTTTGATAATAATATGTACTTTGAAATAAGAAAAAAATATACTTCCGAGTAACCGAGTACCATTTTTAGTATTCGATACTCGGACGTTCGATCGAGTACCCGGTTAACCGGGTACTCGTTGACATCCCTAATATATATATATATATATATATATATATATATATATATATATATATATATATATATATATATATATATATATCCAACTTTTATCATATCTATCTATACCTTATAGCTGGTATCCTTTTCTATTGGAAGCAAATTGATGACACTTCTTTTACATAGTCCTTCACAAGTTTCCTAACATCAATTGTCATCTTCAAAACATTAGGTGAATTTCTAATATTAAATCTAAAAGAAATCATTATCTGAATTCATGAATACTTACATTGTATATCCTGTTACTGAATCAGGACATCCCATTAAGTCAAAAAGAGACATATCACGTTTATTTTTAAGAAATCATAATTTATTGTACCATTCAGCCATTATCCTGTAGCAGGAATACTTAGATTATATGTCCTGTTAATTAATCAGAACATCCTGTTAAGTCAAAAAGAGACATATCATGTTTATTATTAAGAAATCAGAATTCATTGCACTATTCAACCATTATTACGCTCTCAGCAGTTAATTACAGTCTCATTTCTGCCAAAATAAATTAATTTATTACATGAAATGATGAAAATGATATCAATATATAAAAGCAATTATATATACATGTATATATATAGTTAGTAATTGAATGACCTTCATCATTTTGTTATTGCTTTCTATACATCTCTCCTTACTAACAGTGCCATTTCTTATCCCCTCCGTATGGTTTAAAACCTGTAACACAATCTGTAGTTTGCTGTCATTTTTATGACGTTTTATAACAATATGTTGCTTGAAATTCTCCTATGTGTCATTAACAATGTGATATGAACAACTCAGTATAAATATTAGATTAATACCGAACAAAGTAGAGGGTTTTTCTGTAATAAAAATTACAATTCCACCACCAAAAAAAATCATTAAAAGAAGTCAAACACATTTTTTACACGTTCGTTCTCCCAACTTGTAGGTAAAGTAAGAAACAGAATGACGCGCTGCGTTTCCAGACTTTCAGATTTTGATTGACCAATCTCTGCTTTTCATAAGACATACCACAAGAATTCCAAATTAACCATTATGTTTGCATAAAACAGAAAAGATATACAACTGGCACTCAAAACGTCTACTTTCTTAAATGTTAAAAACTTTCTTTAAGTATAACAATTTCCTTTTCATGTAAAAAAAATCCATGAGAAGACAGATTGTTGAAAAAATACAGACATTTAAGAAACTTAAGATACTTATTGCTTTCTGTAAATTTTTTAAAGAAATTAAGATGATTAGCATCAATGCATTTATCAATGCATGGAGTATTTAAACGACCTTGACAATTTGCTATTTCTTTCGAAGAATAATCATTAAATGTGAAGATAACGAACAGTAATCAAATCAAAAATCTATTTCAATATTACAAATGGATAGCAGAGCATACATAAACCCTTTGAAACACCCGAAGTGGGATCAGGTGTTATGGAAGGGTAAGCATCCTCTGTCGAGCGGTCACACCTGCGTGAGCCCTTTGACTTGATCGAGTAATCCATTGACAAACCAGTAAGAAAATAATGGCATAATAATATATGTTAAAAAGATCAATAAATATTTGACCTAACAATAGGTTGTATTTACAAGAAAGTTCATTGTATTGATGATAGAATTAGCAAAATGTTGACTTTAAACGAGATTGTTAATCTCTTGTAATATCAACTTCTTTATCAGTAGCCTGTCTTGTGTTAGAAATTTAGAAATTATCAGAACATGCTCTTGCGTATCGTTTTAAGTGGGAAACATTTATAAACACCATTTTCCGGTGAAAAGATGTTATATTGCTTCACATATAAGGGAAGTTGGTGATAGAATAGTTGAAATCACGTTTATCATAAAGTTTACTAGCAAGTTTGTCATCAACATATCTCTCTAGTAAAATATCTAAATAGGAAACAGATGTGTCCCACTCTGTGGTGTCTTTTATTTCGAGTTCAGAAGGAAATGTCGGATCAACGTATGAATGAAAATAATTAATTGATAAAACATCGTAGTACCGGGTATATTTAAATGTCAAATTGAAGGCCACAGCAAGACTTCTTTTTTTCATGTAAAAGTTTTTTTGATATCATTAAATTCTGCTTCACGAGAATACAAAAAACTGGATTGTTAATTAAGGGTCAAAATTGATATCCATGGGAATTCCAACAGATTATTGGTAGAACTGGTCTATAAAGTCTACATAAATATAGTCAATGGGGAAATCCAGCATTTTTAATATCATCTTCTGAGTACTTGTTTGTAAAATCAGAATGAATTTTACAGAAGTAATTTTACAGATGACCAATCATAAAATATGAAAATTTCCGAGTTACTATGATGTCAAAAAGCCTGCTCTTTAAATTATTTTGTCGTGAGGAATGATCATATATCATCCAAATTTACAATAAAAATAGACTTAAGAGAAAAACATGAAAAATGTTTGAGAACGCCAAAGAAACGAGAATATGAAAATGTTTACACAATGAACACAAAATTTTGTTGGAACAGATATATTCATTTATATAAAACGACAGGCGTTAGCACGATAAGATCCCTCACTGCTACGGCCGTAAGCGCCATGCATAGGTCAAAATGTGTGGCACTTCAATTATAACAGGGACGTCTCTATATGAGTGAAAATTCTCGAATGGGACGTGAAACAACATTCAATCAATCAATCGTTATCAAAGAATTTGTGCGTTTACACTGTATTAACAATAACATTGAGTCAGTGAAAAATGGCGGGGGGGGGGGGGGAGATACCCCATTACCTCATTACAATGGATCGTAATAATTTCCATCATGGTTTTCATGTCTCTCAACTCATTCGATACTCTAGATCTGGAGCATGCTCGGAGAACGATCAATTTTCAAACCAAAGCAGGCTACTGACAAAAAGCTAATGTTACAGGAATTTCAACAACCTCTTTTAAAGTCAACATTTCGTAAACTCTGGAGTTGATACAACGACCTTATTAGCAAATACGACTTGTCATTGGGTCGTATTTTGACTGACACAATTCATTACAATTGTAAGGCCTTTGTTTTCATCCTAAATTTGACTACGGAATATTCCGTCTACCTGATCGATAAATAGATCTCACGGCGGATGTGACTAGTTAATAGGGAATGCTTAATCCTCCTAGACACCTGATCCCACCTCTGGGATTTTTGGGGGTTCGTGTTTTATGATCTGTTCAAAGATTTGCTTGTTTGTAGGTTTTTTGACATAGATCACTTTATCTTCATTTTTGTCATTGTTACCTATATTATCAGCTCTTTTAAAATCACAATTTTTTCCCGAAAAAATAATTGAATACAAACAATATAAACTATGTAAGCTTGGTTAAAATTGAAATAGATCACTTTCGTTAATTTCACCTTTTCATTGTTTACCTATATTATCAGCTCTTTTAAAATTTCAATTTTTCCCGAACAAATGATTGAATACAAACAATATATCCATGTACGCTTGGTTAGATACGAGTCTGCTGATAAATCAATTTGTTTCCTCAAAAGTAAAGCATTACTAACTTTACTATTATGCATATCTTTAGTAAATAAATGGACTTAAAGCGATTTCTTTACGTGAGTTCCCTTTTACAGTGGAAACGTTCATGAACATCTTACCAAACCTGACACTATATACATGTACATACTGTATGCACTTAATATTTTCTTTGCATTTTAGATTCCGCAAGATATACTTTGGGACAGTACAACTCAGAGTCTAATCCTGTCAGCCTATTTCTACGGACAACTTGTTTCTCCTTTCATTTCCGGTCAGGTGTCACTGCGATTCGGAATTAAATGGCCAATGGCAATATATATGCTGCTGTCTACTGTTTTACTTGTATTGACACCGAGCATTGCCAGAACAAGCTCTCATTTGCTCATTGGAATTCGAGCTGTACAAGGGTTTCTAGGGGTATGTAATAACAGAATTGCCCTATCATTACGAAACTCTTATCAATAACGATCGTTTTCCAACTTTGTAATGCAGTGAGCTATTTAAAACTTGGATGACAATAGATAGCAAAGAAAAAAAAGGAAAGGAAATTTATATACAATTTGTGTATCAAATATCGCTTTAAGAAAATTTTAATGTATAATAGGTTTTGTATTCTTTGAAGTTTTACGATAATAAAGATGACACATACATCATTTTTGTAATTATCGTTTAGTCTGGATGCCTGCCTATGTTTTCTCAGCTCTGGGATGAGTGGTCACCAAAGTCTGAGCGCAGTGAGCTTCTAGCCTTCACATTCTCAGGTGTGTCCCTTTTCTGTATGTCTCAATATATTTTCTGTGAAAATAACTCTTTTAAAATGCTTTCCTGTAGTCAATGATTAATGATTAATTTCCACTACTGCTGAATAATTTTCCAAGACGTAGATTTACTTTAAATTTCAAGTCTGAGAAAGTACTATTCATGATAGGTCGATAGTGATATCATGTTGTATGTGCTCTAAAATTAAGTATATTCACATTTTAAGAAAAACTGCTTTTTTCTAGAAAATAAGAAAAAATGTTCTTCTTATTTTGCTGTACTGATTCGCTCTCAACTCTTGGTCAATACAAGTAATAAAATATATGCAATAGCACGTTTATTTTTTAAAATCTGAATTTATTTATTCTGGCATACACTGTGTTCACTATCTGCCTTATTTTTACTTTAAATGTATGTGATTACTTTTTAGATCATGTACACATCATCTTTTGAAAATCTGATGCACGTTACGGCTTATATGCTAAATAAATAATATGAAAGGAATCTCCAGAACTAGAACTATTTACAGCTTATGAATTAATATTCATACAAACATTTTTTTCACAAAGTCCTTTATATACCTCTACAGGATTGGATCTTGGAGTAGTTATTGCCTTTGCCAGCTCTGGGTACCTTTGTACTATTCCTGTAGATGGCGGATGGCCATTTATTTTCTACACATATGGTGAGTAATTCCAATTCTTTAGTAACATCCTTTTTGAGAATTACGTCAAAAAACGTAAAAAAAAACAATCAAACACAAAACTATAATACAATATTAATATTATTCTGAACAGAGATTGGTAAACATAAGCAGTTTATTTCTACAAGAATAGAATAATAATTAACTGACATTCTATATCGATCTTTATTTCTCTGAATATTGATTCTTGTAGGGGGTGTGACCGTTATATGGTTAGTCGTATGGCTAATATTTGTTACTGACTCCCCCACCTCTCACCGATGGATCAGTGCACAAGAAACTACATACATAATAGGAGACAGACACGATAATTTTAAAGAAAAGGTACCAATTTTAACATTTTGTACCTTAATAACAAAAAAGATCTGTTTTTGAAGGTCATTTATTTAGTATCTGTCATTCTTATCCTGTTTCGCGATTTTAAATGTAAATTTTCATTTCCAGTGCAGATATGAGCACACGAAAATACAAGCCCCATGGCTACTTATCCTGAAGTCAGGGCCTGTTTGGGCAATGATTACTGCAATGCTCACTGTTGCCTATGGAATGACAGCTGTATTTTCATATCTTCCAAAATATATGAATGATGTCTACAAATTAAACACTGGTGATGTATGTTATTTGAATTATTTTATGTTCATAGCATCTATGAATAAAGTGGGAAAATATGAAGGGCTAAGTTAATCCTAAAGGATCAAGCTTTTTAACATCATAAACTACTACTTCCTTGATAAAAATAAAACTTCTAAATTTTCATATCTTTGATTAGTCATCTACAAAATTGTTAAAAATCATGTTGATTCTACACAATTTTAAAATCTGAAGTTGAAGATGATATTAAAAAGCTGCCTAAGTTTCTCACTGACAATAGCTATGTAGTCTTTGGAGACCAGATCTTCCAGCATTCTTTTTGAATTCCGAATGGGAACTAATAGTGCTTCTTTATTAACCTACTTGTTTTTACATTCTTGTGATGCAGATTTTTTTTTTCAAATCTTATATGTGATAAGAAGAAAGCTTGGTACGGCTTTCAATTCAACATTTCGATATTTCGACGACCGTCAAACAATTATCAATAGTTATTTTCAATCATATGTCAACTCGATATATCCCAGTAAGTTCGAAATAAACGAGACCATATAGTCTGCCACATCTGCTTCATACTTCGATATTTTACTGACCATAGACGTTAATGGCCAATTAAAACCTAAGACTATGACAAACGGAATGACTTCATCTTTTCCATCATTAGCATTCCTTGTTTTTGAAGCAATCTTTCCACAATAACCTGCAAAAAGGCATTGATGTCACCCAACTGATTCAGTACTCAAAAGTCTGTTCTGAGTACGATCAATTTTTAAACAGATGCATGAAACATAGAGATAAAGAACAGTTTTCAAGCTCGTAGTCCCTGTAAACAATACAAATCGGGCGCAGAGCAAACATGGACCTCCAAAATCATCAGAGACTGGATAAGGTGCCATGGAGGAGTAAGCATCCCCTGTCGACCGGTCACACGGCCATATGTTCATTGTTATGATCGGGTCAACGGAAAATTCCGTAGAAATTTCAGTGTGTAAATAATCGCAGAACAATTAGTATAAAAAATGTCAGTCAGCATTTGACTTAATGATAGATTGTTTTTGCTGATAAGTCATTTTTTCGACATTTTTGCTTATAAAGTCATGGTTTCGACATTCTATCGCAAATAAGTTGATGCTACAGGGTTTTCAAATACATATCTCATTTAAAATAGCATTTTGCAAATTCTGTGGTACTAGTTACAATGACCTTGTTAAGAAATACAACCTTTATTTGGTCGTATTATGACTAACATGTTTCCCACCAACTGTCCTTGTTTTTATACCATTTTTACTACGAATTACCCTGTTTACCTGATCAATAAAGAGGGCTCACGGCGAATGTGAGAAGTAAACAGGGGATACTTACTCTTTCTGGGCACCAGATCCCACCTTTGGTATTTCCATGGATGTGTGCTTTTGCCCTGTTACGATTAATATTTTGTATTCTTAACCGGATTTATGAGATTAATTACTAAATAAGTATTTATCTTCATCTTTTACAACAAAGGGCTGGACTTGGTCATATATTGTAAATACCTTAAATCTTTGAAAATATTCTTCTCTACTCATTGGCATTAAGCAGGCAAACGGTTTACATGTTTATAAAAAAATTTAACTCTCTGTCAAAATTGAGAAACCCCTGCCCCCAGGACAATGGCTCATGAATATGATAATGATTATAAATCGTTAGATTTTTGTCACAGAGATATTAATGTTGTTCGCCTGTTTTTCCTGAGCAGAATGGTAAGATGTCTGCCCTTCCTTTCCTTGGACGGAGCCTATCCATTATTTCAATTGGTCTCATAGCCGATAAAATACTACAATGGAATCGAATATCAGTGACCAATCTGCGGAAGATCATCCAATGTCTTTGTAGGTATTCCAGATTAAGAACGAATTTTATTTGTATTCTTGGATTCATAAGATGAATGTAACTTCGTGCTGAGTTTTTATTTTCATTTCTCCATACAGCATCCTTTATAGGAGCAATATTCATTTTCTTCATAAAGTACGTAAACCAAAGCGATATGGCCATTCTTCTGTTAACCATCTCTTCCATGGCTCTTGGCGGTACCATGTCTGGTTCCTATACTAACGCTTTAGAGTTAGCACCCAGGTAAAAAACTACTTCTTTTAAAAGGATTACATATTTTAGGGGAATTAATGTTAATCTATTACAATAAAGTCATATAAATTATAATCGCTGAAATTTAATTAATCTATTCTAATTTTTTTTTATACAGCATTAAGTTTCTCCTCCAATATTTATTTATCCACATAAATTCATGAGACCAAATACAGACTTATTTTTTCTTGAATAGACTCTAGAAAATTTGTCATAACGAAAAAGTTTCAAATTACTTCGCACAGTCAATTATTTGACCTTTCTGCACTCAAAAAATGTCATTTTTCTGGCATTAAAAGTTTAACAACCAACAAAAAAAAAATATTTGGGTGTAAATACTTGATAGAGAAAAATTGATCATTTTCTTAAAAAAAACTTCCACCACAAAATATACTTCCTCACTTAATGCTTTTGGTATGAAATTTCATCGCGGGATTTTAATTAAATATAGTTTAAATGGCATTGTAGAATCCAAATTTATTTTAAGAACTAAAATATGCAGAATTTATTAAATAGAGGTCTGGACAAAAATCTCAAAAGCTTAGGATCGAACCTCTTTAAGAGAGAAAAATTTAAGAGTTAAACCCCCGGTGAGGTAACATCAGCACTCAGGGGTGTTCATCACGTCATGTTTAAGACAGATAGATATATACTGATGTACTTTGTATTCAGTGACTGATGTACTGTGTATTCTGTGTCCAGCTGTGCTTTATATACACAGATCGTAATCCGATACTGGTATCATTTATCTGTAAACTTGTAAAATATCACAAAACATTGATCTTATCCTGTACAACGAAGAATGCATTAATTTTCCAGATATTACTTTTGATTTAACCGCTATAGATCTTCTCGGGTATAGTTTACCAGTATGAATGTAGTGATTGAATGATTATATGTTCAGTCATTCATTCTTGCTGTTTCTCTCTCTTTATACTTTGTATAACTATTTAAATGATAAAGATAAAAACTAAGATTAATTTTGGAAATGAATTACATTTCAGGCTGAAATGAAGAATTTATTACACTTTTTAAACGGAATTTTTATCTGCTAAAATTCTGGTGATTAATCTTTATGGAAAATTTATGAACCAAAAAAGGATCTTGATTTTAGTAAATGTTATCACAATGATAAATCCCTTTTTTCCACCACAGATTTGCCTCATCGCTGTCTGGACTGGCCTTTACTATAAACGCTTTAGGACAGATCACCGCGCCTATGATAACATCTTTTATGATAAAGGAAGTAAGTCTATCTTGATTAATAATAAATCAATGCTGATCATGGTTTATACGGAAAAGATTTCCATTTTTATTTTACAGTTCTATATCAAAATAGATTATAGAAAAGATTATTGGCTTTTTATGAGATTTAACTAAGATTTTTATTTCTGACAATGAATTTAAGGATTCTGACGATAGCTGGCGGAATGTTTTTCTGTCCCTGGCTTGTGTCTACTGTTTTGGGGGCATCATTTACGGACTCTTCGGTAGCAGCGATGAACTACCTTGGTATACTCGAATGGAAGAGGAGTGTGAATTTAAAAAGATTCCTAGTATCTCTTCAACTGTTGCAGGCACAGAATATATGGGAAAAGCACAGATTACTGAAGCCGTTTTTACGAAAGACAAGATGAAACAAAACAAAGAATATAGAATTAGTAATGATGTATAACCAGATCGGTCAACTGTAAAAAAAAAAATAATTTGTACGAAATAAATTCATAGTTACTGTATAAAAAAATTGTCAAATGTAGAACCAAAATGTACGTTGTGTGATGATGTAGGTACTATATCATATGTAATTATTATATTTAATTCTAAATAATGCTGAATGTGTAGATGGTGGGAAAATGGCATACAGTATTGCGTTGTTCGGAAGTCATTTAGTTAGAAACGTAGCTTTGAGCGAGGAGGTATCTTCCTTTAATAAAATGAATAAAAACCACACAATCTTTTCTTTCTGCGCAATGAATATAAAAGATCATTACTAACTATCGGCAATCATAACTTTCATTGATAATTTGAAATATAAACAGAGAAAATTTGAATAGAACAGTTATGTCTTTTGATTTTCTTTAAGTTTCAGCTCATGCATTGCTTGTTCTTACCCGAAATTGTTCTTACTCCAAAAATTATTAAAACATGTTATGCAAAATTTTCCTAAATTTTTGCGGTAGATAATTTAGGAAATTATAGGGCATTCTTAGAAATGGATGGCGTCCGTGATTTAAATTGAATATCCTATGAATTAAAAAAAAATGTCTGAATAGGTCTCCGTGTACATTTCGAGATATACCGTACCGTAATAAGGTTATCATTTCACGATACAAATATAGATATACATATGTACCCTATGAATAAAATTGCAGTGTTCTTGCAAAAGTATTTCAAGAATTTATTTCATTTTGATGCACTCGTTATCCATAGCAAGCAACAATGCTAAAGAAGCATGGTAAGGCTTTTCGTTTGGAAACAGGAGCAGACAATCCATCAACTTCCGGAAATATATTTGCTAACGATATCTTTCGATGTCTGGTCTGGAATTGACTATTTGGAATCTCGTTTTGAACTGCATCTAGTGGTAACCATAAATCTTCGTCGTTTTCGATGTTAGGTTCTACCTGAAGAAAAGAAATGAAAAGAAAATGACAATTTACATATTAAGCCAACACATATAAAAAAGAAAAACTGATCATATTTTAGCACTTAACAACTGCTTCGATCATTTTCATTTTCTGACAGCAATCTGAACCATTATCAACCATTATCTTCTTTTTTTGTCATGGTTTATCAAACTATCAACGAACTTCCATGTAAAAAGCAGTGGTGAGAGCATCTGCTCTAGAGTCGTTGAATCTTAATTTGATCCTTATACGTCGCGGGTTCGAATCCACTGCGGGACGTGGAGACGGCGTCCTTCAAATGAGACCTTATAAACCGAGGTCCCGTGTCGCAATAGGTGTTGGCACGAAAAAGATCCCTCACTGCTCCATGGCAGTAAGTGCCGAGTAAAGGCCCTCCACCCGTAAGTGGTGGCGTGTCCATATGAGTGAAAAATTCTCGAGAGGAGCGTTAAACAACAAAGAAACAAACAAAAACATGTAAAAAAAAACTGGCTAAAATACCGCCAACTTGGTATGAGGTATCAAATAATGAATGAATCAATCAATCAGTCATTATATACATATATTTAAGAGGAAAATGATATTTAAGCATTGAATTATTATTTTTTGAAAGATGTAGTCTCATAACTGCAATGGGGTATGCAAACAAATAGTAACGCGTTAGCGCGTTATGAAAATTTGTTTGCACACATCGTTGCAGTTATAAGACTACATCTTTCAAAAAATAATAATTCAGTGCTTAGATTTACATTTAATAACTCCCTGTCTTATCTGCAAATGTGATTTATATTTCAAAATCCATGTATTATCCTTCAGATAAGTTACAATTAATGGAAGAAGCATTGTAACAGCTACACTCAATGTGAGCTTGAAAATTTGAATTTCGCGTATTACGTTGCACTTGCACGGCGCTCAACGTTTACGACGTCAAATAAAAAAAGAACTTTAATGTTTTGACCTGTCCATCCGTGTTATTGTGTTTATTATGCCGTAGCTTTCCACATACTTTATAAGCAAAATACATGTAGAATGTAAACATTAAAACAATTTGTTTTGGAATACATTTCTGGTTCTTCATGACTTCCGAATTCTGAATTGAAATCCTCATGTAGAGAATGAATGAAAACTGAGCTGCTTGCAACAGAATTTATAACAATTCAGTATTCAAAGCAGAGTATTTTTTGTAATATAATACCATAACATACACCTAAAACTCATGCTTGTCTCAGGTCTCTTATTAAATTGTTTCATAGAAGAGACACGAAATGTCGCTGTAATTTGAGAAAATATGTAATCAAGCAATCTTCATTTTCCACGTTATATGATCTTATTCAACTTATCCAAGGATCTGAGGTACATATATGAACAAGAATGAATAAGAATTGCGTAAAGATGATATAAGATCTTAACTTTAATTACTAAAAAATGAAAACTAGATGCTGTCATGACCCCAACCAAATTTCACTTGTTAATCATATTTAACTACAGTATACTATAGTAAAACTTTAATAGTTTGATATACTGTGAAATATACAAAACTATTTTGGGATTTAACCTTAATGTCTGTCAAATTACCTGATGCCAATAATCTAAATTTTAGAAATAATACGTGAATATTTGGGATACCAATCAAATACAGAATTGCCAATCGGTTATCCACAAGATCCGACCGATTAACCTGTTAATCGTTTCAAAATACACATTTTCTTGACATATTTTTCAAGTAAGCTCTATTCATTTACAAGACTTAAGAGATGTTAGAAATATTCCTTTGATGTCTGATTAGAACACTATATATATTTTGTTTCAAGTACAATAGAAAAAAAAGAAACATGCCTGATATATCAGAAACATTAATAATTTTTCAGACCAGATATCACACAGGGTCACTCTGCATAGTGACCATAATCAGAAATAAGTCTGAACTATCAATTAATTCACAATGGGTTTTTTTAAAATATAAATAAATACAAAGACGGGGTAAGATACATAATCATTTTAATAGTTAACAGTACTCAACAGTGATTCGATTAATATCATTAAAGAAATACACAACACGCTGGGTAACTTCATAATGTTTAAACAATGAATAACATTACTAAAACTTACCAATTAACCCAAGAGCTCAAACAAACAAAAATTATTTACCTCCTAATAAGGTTAAATAGATGTGCAAAACCACTACCAACAGAGTTAATTTTTTTTTTAAATCATTGTACGGAAATTGAGTTCAGATTTGCACATATTAAATGTTTTTATTAATTTTTTTCGACTAACCTTGTACAGATCTTCAAACCGATTACCATCGGTGCGACCAAGTAACCAGTTCACCTTTTACAAATTGCCAACTCTAATGAATACACAAGTAATACTAGTATTTCTAAGAAAATTGCATGAAATAAAAATTAAGAATTTGAGAATCATACTAAAAATACTTTTATTTACTACAGTAAAATTTAAAAAACACCTTGATACTAGGCCATCTTTAAAAAATTGTTTGGTTTCCCTCTCCCGACCGCCAGCTAAAAGTTGCCATTTTTAATCTCTAGGAAGCAATTTTTTTTATGCATTTCGAAAAACAGATTTTGAAAATTCAGCATTGATGTTGAAATTTTCTGAGAAAAAATTGTCTCCCCTACCTACCGACCCAATTTTTTCATCCTGAGTCGGGAGAGGGCAAACAAACATTATTTTAAAGTGGCCCTATATAAACTGTAGAAAATTTTGGTTTACTATAAGATTTTTGTTAGGGAAGAAGTATGTCATTTATCAAACTGAGCATAAAATACCCAGGTAGTCATATTACCCATAGTCTTCTTATATTAGTATATCGCCTTACAAAATCATTTTAAGTCTGAAATAAAAGTAATTATTGTTGTATGAACTCTTTTGCAAAAAAAAAAAAAAAAAAAAAAAAGTTTGACATGTTTGGCTTTTAAATAGTCTCAAAATGCCAAAACCTTACTGCACAGCTGCAGGACACCATCAACCCTTTCCAAAAGAGGAACTGGCCACTGCATAGCGGGTTCCTGTAAATGTTCAACCAGGCATCTTTCTTTACTCCTCACCAAGATATAAACAGTAGTGAAGGAGAAACTTCAAGAGTACTGTGCAACAAAATATTCGAGAAGTGGTGTAAATCAGATGTGGATACTTAAAAATTCCAAGGAACTTTTGGAAAATTTGAAATCACAAGATTTTACCAAAATCAACAGCTTAAAAACTTACGACTTTTCAACTTTATGCACAACCATTCCCCACGATAAATCAAAGTCCAGGCTTTTTGATATCATAGACAGCTGCTTTTTCAATAAAAATGGAACTCGTAAATTTACTTTCCTTGTCATTGGTCATTTGCAAAATTATTTTGTTAAAAAAACATTCTGATTGTACACACAAGTACTCTGAAGTTGACATTGACAAGATGCTTGAGTTCCTGATTGACAATATCTATGTGGCTTTTGGAGACCAGGTCTTCCAACAATCTATTGGAATTCCCATGGGTACCAATTGCACCCCGTTATTAGCAGACCTTTTTTTGTATTCATATGAAGCAGAATTTGTCCAAAATCTTATACGTGAAAAGGAGAAAACACTTGCTGTGGCCTTCAACTCGACATTTAGATATATCTACGACGTATTGTCAATTAACAATGGTTATTTCCATTCTTATGCCGATACTATATATCCCGGTGAGCTTGACATAAAAGATACCACAGAGTCTGACACATCTGTTTCAAATTACGTATGTATAATTTCTAAAACGAGGTAAATTTTTGACAAACAAGTTGATGAAAAAGAATATCAGCAGTCTCGTTTAAAGTCATCATTTCGTAAGTTCTATGGTCGATACAATGACCTTGTCAGCAAATACAATTTATCACTGAGTCAAATGCTGACTGACGTTTTTCATACTAATTGTTAGGCCATTATTTACACACTGAATTGTCGACGGATTTTTCCGTTAATTCCCGATCATGACAGGGAGCACACGACGTGACCGGTCGGCAGGGGATGCTCACTCCTCCATGGCACCTGATCCCACCTCTGATGTTTTGGAGGTCCGTGTTTGCTCTGCTCCAGAATTTGTAATGTTTAATGGACTTTTGAGCTTGAATACTGTTCGTTATCTCCATACATTTCATTGAGATAAGTGCAGTATTGGACTTGTGTTAAAAAAATTGACACTATCAACATAATCTACAATTTTATTTGGATCACAATGTGTATATCTGCGCTTATTTCAATATCCCTTGAAATAATGATAATAATAAAAAATCAGAACTAATCATTCACAATAAAAAAGTTGCATTAATTACAATAAAAAAAAACTTAATATAAAACCTTCAACACTCAATGGACTTTTGAGCTTGAATACTGTTCGTTATCTCCATATATTTCATACATTAATATATAAAGTTCTGGGAACCAGGCTTTCCTAACCCCCCCCCCCCCATTAATAGGGTAAATTTCGAAGTAAATTTGAAAAGTCCCAAACCTTGCTGCATGTCTACATGACATCAATCATATTCAAAAAGATGATATGACTACTGCATAAAATATGGGAGGAGATCTGAAAGCAGACTTCCTAAGAAAAATGTCGTTATTCGATCCTCACTTGGCCCGATGGTGAGACTGAAAATTTCAAAACCTTAATGTACATGTACAGGACACCACCAATGATATATTCCAAAAGATGAATTGAATACTGTATAAAATGTATGGGAAAATCTTGGAATGAGGTTTTTGGAAAAAACCCGCCACGTTTTGATCACCAAATGGCCCCCAAGTTCCATAACCTTGTTGCACGTCCACAGGATATCACCAATCATATTCAAAAAGATGATTTGGCTTCTGAATTAAATAAGTGGTAATCAGGTTTTCTAAATTTCAACCTAATAACCTACTTTAGGCAACATAATGGGGGTCTAGCAAAATTTTGTAGTCGGTATGGAGAAACATTGGCTAATTATAACCTATTGCAGTTTAGCAGAATT